CTGTAGAATTCCTTCCTCTTTTTCTTTTTCCCTTCTTGGTCACAAAGTGAGCAGTTTTACTCCACCTTGCTCTCCTGTTGCTGTGATGAATGGAGTGGGGGAGGGGATAAGAAGGAAGGCTGGGGGCTGGGAAGGTAGCTCAGTGGTAGAGTGTTTGCCTTGCATGCATGAGGCCCTGGGTTCGATTCCTCAGCACTACATAAGGAGAACAAAGCCGAAAGTGGTGCTGTGGCTCAAGTGGTAGAGCGCTAGCCTTGAGCTGAAGAGCTGAGGGACAGCGCCCAGGCCCAGAGTTCAGCTCCCACGATGGACCAAAAAAAAAAAAAAGAAGAAGAAGAAGAAGAAAAAGAAGGAAGGCAGGGAGTGAGGTAAGAAAAAGATTTGGAAAAAAACCGGGTGTCAGTGGCTCTCACCTGTAATCCCAGCTACTCAAGAAGCTGAGATTTGAGAATCACGGTTCAAAGCCAGCCCAGGCAAGGAAGTCTGTGAGACTCTTATCTCCAATAAACCACTAGAAAACCGGAAGTGGCACTGTGGCTCAAGTGGTGGTGCACTAGCCTTGAGCTAAAGAGCTGAGGGACAGCACCCAGGCTGAGTTCAAGCCCCATGACAAAAAAAAAAAAAAAAAATTGCAAGAAAAGGAGAGGATTGCTAGACCTTGGGGGTCTAGAAAACCTTTAGGGGACTGGCTACTAGGATGTCACTTCATGGGTCTCAGAGGTTCAGTGAGGCTGTTGGTAAAGAGCTTGACTCAGGCCGGGAGCCAGTAGCTCACGCCTGTAATCCTCAGGAGGCTGAGATCTGAGGATCACAGTTCAAAGCCAGCCTGAGAAGGAAAGTCCATGAGACTCTTATCATCTCCAATTAACCATCAGAAGTGGTTCTGTGGCTCAAGTGATAGAGTGCTTGCCTTGAGCTGGAGAGATCAGGGACAGTGCCCAGGCCCAGAGTTCAAGCCTCATGACGAACCTGCTGATGGTGGGGACAGAAGACCAAGTTGATGGGACTGTAAGAGGAGACCTGGACTGTGAAAGAAGACACTGGACTGTGTCACAAACCTCAGGTACCATCTCCCACACATCCTGGTCCTGCTACAAAAGCACAGTGAAGTGAGGTTGGAGAACATAAACCTCCTTGGTCCACAGGAGCCTGGGACATCGAACAAGGCCTTGCTGCACCTCATTTTCTCATCTATAAAAGAATCAGCTGACAGGCTAATCATTGGGGAAAGCAAAGCACAGATGGTTTGGCAAGTTTGTCATCAATGTATCATGGGAGCAAAACCCAGGCCTGTTGATCTGGCAATTAGGGCAGGCACTGAACCGGGAGCTAGATTTGGGTTGCCATGTGAGTGCCCAGTAAGGCCAGAAGGAATCAGCTTTGTTCACAGAAAGAAATCCAAGATCCTTGAGGCCAGAAGCAGCCCCCAGGGAAGGATGGGAGGTGCAGAATCTGGAGTTCTGCTACTACCACCCAGCCTGCCCTCCTGGTCCTGGACTCTCACTTCCTGCTCTGACCTACTCCAGGCGGGTGACCTAGCAGTGGGAGTGGATTCCTTATAGGCCTACTAATTAAGTAATTAGGGATAATGACCCTTAGGGCCCAGCCTGGAGGTGCTTAAAGAACACATTCCATAGATTTCAGGGTGGTAATCAGTGAGGGAGGGAGGTTGGAATCCAGAAAAGGGAGCTGGGAGCAGCCAGATCCTGCCGGTCCTTTTTTGTGCCTCAGGCTGGGGAGGGGTGGGTCTGGTTGGCTGTTTGACTCTAGTGGCAAAGGTGTTTATATTTCACTGTATCCTTTTAGTTAGAGTTGGGACTAGGGGAGGGGACTCAATTGTCAGGGATTGGATCTAGAAGGTTCCGGCATCTTTCCTAGGCCAGTTCTGACAGCTGAGTGCCCGTTTGTCCAGACCACAGAAAACCACACATCATAACCCTCTTTTTCTGGCAGGATCCGTAGCTATCTCCCAGAACCTAGAAATCCACATGCCACAAGTTTCACCAGCCATCTAAGACTCAGATCCCTGTGGCAGCTGGGATGCCTCCTTTCTGAGACTGGAGTCCATGCTGCCCTTAGCAGAAGCAGTCTCAGGTGAGCTATCCAGAGAGACTTCAGGCCCCAGGGCATCCAGCCCAGAGCTGGCCTCTGTTGGCAGGCAGAGCCAGATAAGTCAGGGAGATATGAGTAAAAGATTGGGTTTACTGTGGGGGTTGTGGTCTCAGAGAGATGGAAATGCCAAATACAGCAAATAGTGACCACGATGTCCAGAGTGAAGGGCAGGGCTCTGTTGGAACTGACACATGGACCCAGAATGGTTTGGGGGAAGGATTGGAGTCTTAACATAAAAATTGGCCTGTGGGCTGGGAATGTGGCTTAGTGGCTAGAGTGCTTGCCTAGCATGCATGAAGCCCTGGGTTTGATTTCTCAGTACCACATAAACAGAAAAGGCCAGAAATGGCACTGTGGCTAAAGTGGTAGAGTGCTAGCCTTGAGCAAAAGAATCTCAGGGACAGTGCCCATGACTGGCAAAAAAAAAAAAAAAAAAAAAAAAGGCCTGGTTGAGGCTGATAAGTATTGAGTTTAATTAGTTGCAGTGTTGTTTTATTCTGCATGGTACTTCCTTGTGACAACTCCTGAAGAACTTTTTCATTTCCTTTTGTATAAATTTAATTTGCACTTATGTCTCAGGTGAGAACTATATTTTATATTTCCTTATATCCTCAACAGATCACTTTATGGATGCTTAAAATTATTAAACAAAACACTTTCCCTCATTTTGTACCTTGCATATAAATTTGTCATGAGCTCAGGCTGTTTTTGTTTGTTTTAATCTAGACGCAGAAAGCCACGTGCTAGTGGCTCATGCCTGTAATCCTAGCTACTCGGGAAGCTGAGATCTGAGGACTGTGGTTCAAAGCCATCTAAGGCAGGGAGTTGGTGAGGTTTTGTTTTTTTTTGTTTTTGTTTTGTTTTTTTGGTCATGGGCTTGAACTCTGGCCCTGGGCGCTGCCCCTCAGCTCTTCAGCTCAAGGCTAGCGCTCTACCACTTGAGCCACAACACCACTTCCAGTTTTCTGGTGGTTTATTGGAGATAAGAGTCTCATAGACTTTCCTGCCCAGGCTGGATTTGAACCTTGATCCTCAGATCTCAGCCTCCTGAGTAGCTAGGATTACAGGTGTGAGCTACCGACCTGCGCCTGGCTTGGTGAGATTCTTCTTCTTCTTTATTTTTTTGGGGTCCAGTTGTGGGGCCTGAACTCTGGGCCTGGACGCTGTCCCTCAGTTCTTCAGCTCAAGGCTAGTGTTCTACCACTTGAGCCACAGCGCCACTTCCAGATTTTTCTTTTTGCTTATGTGTGCTGAGGAATCGAACCCAGGGCCTCATGCATGCAAGGCAAACGCTCTACCACTGAGCCACCTTCCCAGCTCTTGGTGAGATTCTTATCTCCAATAAACTACTCAGAAAAAGCTGGAAGTGGTGCTGAGGCTCAAGTGGTAGAGTGCTAGCCTTGAGAAAAAGAATCTTAGGGACAGCACTCAGGTTCAGAGTTCAAGCCTTAGGACCGCCCCCCCCCAAAAAAAAAAAAAAAAAGTTGAACTAAATTAAAAAAAAAAAAATCTAGATCCAGAAACAGCCATTTTAGAAACAACAGAAATTGAAATTCCCCTCTCTTGGTGCCCCAAAGAATCCCTGTCCTGGGCATCAGCCCCTCCTGCCCAGGGATCATCAAGTAGGTCACAGCCAGAGCCAAGAACACCAGTCAATTCTCCTGATAGTCCTCTGAGTCTTTTCTTTATAAATGTTATAGTTTATTATAAAAACACTGATGATAAAAAGGAACTGTATTTGTGCACTGTCCTCCCTCCACCCTGTCCCCCAACTCCGGCCTGCTTCCCCCATCAGTAGTAGGTAAAAAGGCTGTAATGTGTTGGGAGAGAAAATCCAGAAGGCACTCACAGATGAAATGCCTACAAGGAGAAAACCAGAACATTGGGGAAGATGTGAGGAGAGAGGACCAGGGAGTAGAGAAACTGGGGGACTTGCAAGATCAAGTCAGAACTGGCTTCTGGTAGAAGAGACAGGAGAATAGGATCTGAGTGGGAGCACCATCAGGAAAGGTCTGGGATGGGGCTGTGTGCATGAGGCTGTAGGCCAAGCAGAAATCCACTCCCTGTGTGCCATCCAAACCTATAGGAAGCCCACTATAGCCATGGAGGGAAAACTAAGGGATTCAGGAGTTCAGGAGGGAGAGGGAAGAGAGTAGAGAAGAAAATACTGTAAATCTTCTTTGCTTCTTAGAATTTATTTTTTCCTTCATTAAAAAAAGAAGGGCACCAGGCATTGGTGGCTCAAGCCTGTAATCCTAACTACTCAGGAGGCTGAGATCTGAGGATCACAGTTCAAAGCCAGACTGGGCAGGAAAGTCCATGAGACTCTTATCTCCAGTTAACTACCAGAAAACCGGAAGTGGCACTATTTGACTTGAGCTGAAGAGCTCAGAGACAGTGCCCAGGTTCCAGAGTTCAAGCCCAGGACTGACAAAAAAAAAGGTAAGTATCCTGGTGAGGGGTGTCTATGATTTGAAATACCAGGGCTCTGTCATTCTCTCTGATTCCCAAGACCTCTGACTCACAAGTCACTCTGGAGCATTGCCTTCTTAGACTCCTATGACTCCTTCCATACCCCTTCCAGGACTCAGTGTACTGTATTGGTCCCTACCTCACATATCCATGAAACACCTTCTCATTCTCAGATTACCACCTTCTACAGAAAACACTTGCTTGTACTGTTCTTCCTTCTTTTACTTGGAAACTTGTACCTTCTTGTTTACCACCACATTCTCTAGCCAACAGCTGGAGGAGGCTTAATGCTGTCAACTATACTACTAGTATTCATTAGCCTTTTGGAGTCCAAGAAATAAAAATTGTGAGTCTACTTCATCATTCAGGAAAGGAGTAGAGCCTGGAAGAGCTGGGGATATATGCCTTCTAAAAGATCACTGTGGGGAAGGGATTTGGCTCATTTGCAAGTTCTGCTGCTCCATCAGGTAGACAGGGTAGGAATTGGGCCCCTCATTGTCCTCTGGGTCATTGTCCTCAGCATTCCGGGTCAGTGTATGGCGTGCCCGAGTCATACAGGAGACCTGAGATTGAGATGAGAAAGAAATGAGAATGGCACCTGTCATGCCATTTGCTTTGCTTAATGTCCACAATTCAGGCTCTTAATTCTTAATTCTTTTTTTTTTTTTGGCCAGTTGTGGACACTGTTGCTCAGCTCTTCAGCTCAAGGCTAGCGCTCCACAACTTCAGCCACAGCGCCACTTCTGGCTTTTTCTGCTTATGTGGTGCTGAAGAATCGAACCCAGGGCCTCATTCATGCAAGGCAAGAATTCTACCACTGAGCCACCTTCCCAGCCCCTTAATTCTTAATTCTGTACCCTTGGTTTGCTCCTTTCCAAAGATTCTAACCAGCTTGTATAATTATTCCAGCCCCAGATCCAATACTCCAAGTGCCAAATTCTATCTTAGCCCTCTACTCTGTTGTATTTTCCTTGTCTTTATACCCTTTATTCTCACAGACTCCTGCTGACCCCCTCCCAACTTTTTTCCCCCGCTTTTTAAAATCTCAGTCACAGATCAATTCCAACCTTTTTCATTTCATCTATTTTATCACTTCCTGCTTAGTTTTCACTATTTCACTTTTATCACATTCCACCTCCACGATGTCCCTTTTCCTAACATTATTATTCTAGCTCTGACCCCCTAACCTCTCCTTAACTACCTATCTCATGGGCTCATGTCTCTGAGCCACCCTTGTTCCTTACCATGAAGACCAGGCCAAGGAATACCAACAGGAGAATCACAGCCACTAGGACCACAATAACTATTGCCCATGCAGGGAATGAATCATTCTCCCTTGTCACTCCAGCGTGGAGACCTCCCTGTGAGCCATCAATATCGGGGTATGGGAGGCTCTGGTTGCCTGGGGTTTTTGAAAGGATGGAGCTTGTGGTAAGTTCTGAAGAACCACTGAGTACTTGATGGGTAATCTCAGTTTTGTTGACGTAAAGACAGGTAGTAGGGCTGGATTTGTCTCCTGTAATCTTGACTGGAGGCCTTGTAGTTTCTGTGACTTCTGTTTTTCCTGGGTTTTCTGTGGATTTTAATGAGGTTTTTACCATCTTTGTGGTTAGTGTGGTATTCTTTGGGTATATGGTAGGATTTTCTATGATTCTTGTAGCTTTCTCTGGGGTTGTCGTCTCTTCTGGATATGCTGTAGAATTTTCTGAGACATGTGTGATCTTCTCATGGGTCAATGTGGTCTTTCCTCCATGCTCTACAGGCATTGCATGGGTTCTTGTAGCCTCATCAGCCAATGTGGTCTCTCCTTCATGCTTCACCGTAGGCACTGGGTGGGCTTTTGTGGTCTCACCAGCCAATGTGGTCTCTCCTTCATGCTCCACTGTAGGCACTGGGTGGGCTTTTGTGGTCTCACCAGCCAATGTGGTTTCTTCATGCTCCACCGTAGGCATTGGGTGGGCTTTTGTGGTCTCACCAGCCAATGTGACCCTTTCTACATGCCTTGTAGTTATTGAATGGCTTCCTGTGACCTTCTCATTGGCTGATGTGATCTCTTTGATGGGTTCTGTAGTCCTTATGAGAGGCCTGTCTGAGGCACTTGTAGTCCCGTCATCTTTAGCAACTTCTGATTTTCCTGGGGTTCTTGGAGTCCTATGTGATATTTTCATGTTAATCTCTGAATTGACTGAATTGTGAGAAAAAGTTGTAGTCATGTGTGAGGTGATTCTGTTATTATGTGAATTAGTAATGGTCTTTTCCACAGGTCTTACAGTTGTACCTGAGCTTCTCGTTGCTCTTGATGTACTTCTTGTGGTTTTACAAGTTGTTTTGCCCCTGGGTGCTAAGGTTGGATGTTTTTCACCAGGTGGTGACTTCCGGGTGGTAGGGGAGGTAGCATGATTGATAGAGCGTCCACTGCGGCTCATTGGGTCTTGTCCTTGGCTACTGATGTTTTGTTCAGAAGTGTGATGATGAATTGTTGCATTTTTGTGGCCTATGGTTTCAGGATTGTGAACTGGCTTGGAGCTGCGGGTGGTGCTGCAGTGGCGTTTGGGCTTCTGGCTTTCTGTAGATCTGGGGAGGTCTGGAGATCTCTGTGCTGAGTGCAGAGCAGAAGGGTCTGGAGTAGCGGGTAATAGAGGAACAGATGGTAGGGATTCACCAACTTTCTGAACTTCTTGAGATCTTGTAGCACCTGTGGATGAAAAAAGGCAAACGAGAAATTCTCTGTATGTTCTTCCCTCATTCCTTCCACTTCTAGGGCTCCCATGCATCTCCTCTATAGGTATGTCTCCCCAGCCACATTTCCTTAGAATGCCATGATGTCTGATCCCCATTCCCATCTCTAGCCTTTGGACCTTCTTTAAAATTATGCCTTCAACAAAACATCACTTGCCTCCTTTGCCTCATCTCAGCTGATCCCAGGGCCTTCTGGGATCTCTCCAAGTTCCTCTAAGTGCATAAGATCTAGTATCATCTCAGTATTCAAAAGTTTTGAGGGGCTGGGAATGTGGCTTAGTGGTAGAGTGCTTGCCTTGCATGCAAGAAGCCCTGGGTTTAATCCCTCAGTACCACATAAACAGAAAAAGCCAGAAGTGGTACTATGGCTGAAGTGGTAGAGTTCTAGCCTTGAGCACAAAGAAGCTCAGGGACAATGCCCAGGCCCTGAGTTCAAGCCCCAGGACTAGCAAAAAAAAAAGTTGGGCTGGGAAGGTGGCTCAGTGGTAGAGTGCTTGCCTTGCATGCATGAGGCCCTGGGTTCGATTTCTCAGTACCACATAAGCAAAAAGAAAAAAGCCGGAAGTGGCGCTGTGGCTCAAGTGGTAGAGCGCTAGCCTTGAGCTGAAGAGCTGAGGGACAGCGCCCAGGCCCAGAGTTCAGGCCCCACGACAGACCCAAAAACAAAAAACAAAAAAACAAGCAAACAAAAAAAAAAAGTTTTGAATCATGGTGCAAAGCCAGCCCAGGCAGGAAACTCCATGAGACTCTTATCTCCAATTAATCACCCAAAAGCTAGAAAATGGAGCTGTGACTCAAGTAGCAGAGCACCAACCTTAAGCAAAAAAGCTAAGGGACAGTCAGTGCTTAGGGTCCCAATACAAGCACTAGTACAGTCACATACAAAATAATCCTATTCTCTTTCCTGATAACTTTTGCTTGACATTACTGTGCCCAAGTGCCTGTCAATATCTACTTCCTATCATGTCTGCCAAACTGGACAATTTTTTTTTGTCAGTTGTGGGACTTGACCTCTGAGCCTGGGTGCTGTCCCTCAGCTATTCAGCTCAAGGCAACTGCTCTACACCCTTGAGCCATAGAGTCACTTCCAGTTTTCTGGTAGTTTATTGGAGATAAGAGTCTCATGGAGTTGAATTGGACAATTTTGAGAGCAGGGTTTGAATGTCATTTTGCTATTCAGGTTGCTCTTTTAGTATCTGTGGAATGGAATTCCCTTCCCACAGCAGAGCAAGGAGGGAAAGAATCTCCTTTTCATATCATTCCAGGCTTCTTTTTTTTTGTCGGTCGTGGGGCTTGAACTCTGGGCCTGGGCACTGTCCCTCAGCTCTTCAGCTCAAGGCGAGGGCTCTACCACTTGAGCTACAGCGCCACTTCCGGTTTTCTGGTGGTCTATTGGAGATAGGAGTCTCAAGGTCTCGCCTGTCCGGGCTGGCTTTGAACCTTGATCCTCAGATCTCAGCCTCTTGAGTAGCTAGGATTACAGGCGTGAGCCACCAGTGCCCGGCTCATTCCAGGCTTCTTCTATATGTAACCAAGTGGGAAACTAAGGTAAGACCTCTGGTAAAACTTCCCATAGAGAGAGAACAAGGGAAAGGGGTGACATTGTCTTAAAAAATGTACTTACTATTACCTGACTTATGTAACGGTAACCCCTCTGTACATCACCTTTTATAATAACAATAAAAAATAAAAACTTCCCATAGATGGGGGGGGAAGCGGGGAGGATTGGGTGGGGGGGACAGGGGGGAGGATGGGAAGGGGAAACAAAGGAGGAGGCTACAATGCTTGATAAGAAATGTACTCACTATCTTGCCCATGTAATTGTAACCCCTCTGTACAGTATTTTCACAATAAAAAAAGAAATGTACTCATTACCTTACTCATGTAACTCTAACCCCCCTCTGTTGCAGCATCTTTACAATAAAATAAAACAAACTTCCCATAGAGATTAGCAGATAGACAGGTTGTAAGGGAGGTATAGTAAAAGAAGTAGGGGTTCAATCAGAGAAAGGAAATGGGAAGTTGCCATTTTGGCAAAGAAATCTCCCTAATGGGTCCCTCTCTTCACTTAATGCTAAGTGGTGGGAGGGACTACCTATGTTTAAGGACAGGGTGTGGAGGAAAATATCTCTATCAGTGGACAGATACAGGCCCCAATTTCATGGGGAAAACGGGAAGGGACAGAGAACTTGTCACAGGTTTTGAGACAAGAAGGAGAAGCAGGAGATCACCAGAGAATAAAGAGACTGTGATTTCAAAACTGAGATTGCTGATCTCTATTAGCTTAAGGTGGCAGCCAGAGCCTGGAACTGTTCCCAGCCACAGGAATCCATGATCTACCCACCCATATGCTGACAAGGAGAAGGGGGCTGGGGAACTCAGGCTCCAAGTGGCAAATGTGGGTGGGACAAAAAGAGGGTAAAGGGGAATAGAAAAAGCCAAACCTTGAAGGGAATCAAGATTGGGAGAGAAAGAAAGGCTGAGTCTAGCCCCCACTCTACTCTGATTTGTGTGTGTGTATACGCGTGCCAGTCATGGGACTTGAATTCTGGGCATGGGTACTATCCCTGAGTGTTTGTGCTCATGGCTAGCACTCTACCAATTGAGCTACAGTTCCAAATCCAGATTTTTGGTAGTTTTCTTCCCAGGCTGGCTTTGAACTGAGATCCCCAGATCGTAGCCTCCTGAGTAGCTAGGACTGCAGGCATGACCACCAGCACCTGGCTTCTCTGATCCTATTGACAGCAATTCCAAACAGTATTTGTCACTGATTAGGATCTTCTCTAGGTAATATAGTTTGGATCTGGAAACTAAATGCTGATCAAAGGCTCATAGGTTAAAGGCTTGGTCCCCAGTGAAACACCACTGGGAGGTGGTAAAACATTCAGGAGGTAGAGTCCAGGGGGACAACTTTAGGTTATTAGAGGTAGGCCCTTGAAGGGAATACCTTCAAGGGCATACTAGCTCACTCTTCTTTTTCATTCCTGGCCAGAAAATGAATGGCTTTGCTCTGCCATATGTTACACTATGATGGACCACCATATGCCAGAGAAACAAGAAAACTGTTCATAGATTCAACCCTCCAAAACTATAAGCAAAAAACAAACTTTTCACCTCTATATGTTGATTATCAGATATTTTGTTACAGTAACAGATTGCCAGACAATTATCTTGCTGGATTCTTTTCTATGGTGACTGATCTCTTAATGTCCAGAAAGTTTCCTAGAAACTGTCAACCTGGCGGGGCGCTGGTGGCTCATGCCTGTAATCCTAGCTACTCAGGAGGCTGAGATCTGAGGATCGCGGTTCAAAGCCAACCCGGGCAGGAGAGACCGTGAGATTCCTATCTCCAATAAACCACCAGAAAACCAGAAGTGGCGCTGTAGCTCAAGTGGTAGAGTGCTCGCCTTGAGCTGAAGAGCTGAGGGACAGTGCCCAGGCCAAGAGTTCAAACCCCACAACCGACAAAAAAAAAAAAAGAAACTGTCAACCTGTTTTACATCTGAGAAACTGGAATTAACTCATAGAAGAAAAGTGACTTGTACATCATCCTACAGCAACAGCCTCAGCCAAACTTTTTGAGTACTTACCATAAAACAGGTTTGAGTGAGGACAAATATTAATTCCTTAAGATTGAGAACTATATCCTATTCTCCCATATATATATATTTTTTGTTTGTTTGTTTTGGTCGGTCATGGGGCTTAAACTCTGGGCCTGGGAACTGTCCCTCAGCTCTTCAGCTCAAGGCGAGCACTCTACCACTTGAGCTACAGCGCCACTTTCGGTTTTCTAGTGGTTTATTGGAGATAGGAGTCTCATGGTCTTTCCTGCCCGGGCTGGCTTTGAACCATGATCCTCAGATCTCAGCCTCCTGAGTAGCTAGGATTATAGACATGAGCCACCAGCGCCCGGCTCTCCCATATTTTTGTCCCAGTCATTGGGCTTGTACTCAGGGCCTGAACACTGGCCATAGTTTTTGTTGTCTTTTTTTTTTTGGTAGGTTGTGGGCCTTGAACTCTAGGCCTGGGCACTGTTCCTCAGCTCTTCAGCTCAAGGCTAGTGCTCTACCACTTGAGCCATAGCGCCATTTCTGGTTTTCTGGTGGTTAATTGGAGATAAGAGTCTCATGGCCTGTCCTGCCTGGGTTGGCTTTGAACCATAAACCTCCGATCTCAGCCTGCTGAGTAGCTAGGATTACAGGTGTGAGCCACCAGTGTACAGTTGTTTTTTGTGTTTTTGTTCAAGATTAGCACTCAACCACTTGAGCCATAACTCATTTTTTGGTGTCTAATTGGAGATAATAGCATCACAGTCTTTCCTACTCCAGCTGACTTCACTTCTGTGATCCGAAGATCTCATCCTTCTGAGTGGCGAGAATTACAGGCATGAGCCACTGGCTCCTGGCTTCTCCCAACTTTTTACATAAGGAAAGAAGGTTTAGAGTGGTCTAATTATTAGACCTCAGAGAGACTCAGGAAGAAATGGAGACAGGATTTAAATACACATTCTGGCCCAGACTCTTCCTGGTTAAGACCACAGAACACAGCTTATAGGCCAGTTTAGTCTCATCAGGAAACCTGTTGGCATTTGTGGAACTCCTGGAGTACGCTGGTCACATATTTATTTAATTTGTTCACAATCTTACAAAGAGATTTATGATCTTACAGTTTTACAGATGAGGGGAAGGAGATTCAAAGATCTTAAGTAATTGCTTAAATCAGGCTTTCCACTCCATCCCAGATGTTTTTAAACATAAAGGGTGAATTCACTGAGTAATAAATGAGCAGCTAGCAGCATAGAATGGAAAATCCCACCAGCCTTGAAACATGCAAGGATGAAGCTGGTATAGACCCTGTCCTCCATCACTTTGCCTTCTTGCTCAAGTCCTTTAAATGGTTCAGAAGTCCCAGGCCCTCAACAATGAGCCACAATGATGTTATTACCCACCCCAAGGGATACTGAGGGGATGAAATGATCATTGATTGGTCAGTTCCATGCAAATGCTCCAAGAATGTCTGCTCCCCATCCCTACCAACCTAATGCCGTCAGCCCATTCAGCCCATTTATGCAAGCTTGAAGAACCCAACCTGGGGATGGTGCAGTTCTGTCGACCATGTCTTCATGAACAGAGCTAGATTCCATCTCCAATATGTCCCTTAGCAAGCAGGCTCATGCCATGGACACACTAGACAACTCTACACAGTCACCCAGGCGCACTCACCTTCATTTGTTTCTGATTGGTCATCCAACCCTGTAAATACCAAGAGCTGAGCTCTCTCTCATTTTCCATCCCCCTGTGGGATAATGAACCCTTCACCCTTGTGAGCATCTTACCGAACTCCCAAGAAGCTAGCAGGAAGAAAAGGCAGCACTGGAAGCCAAAAGTGGACCAGAGGCCACCAGCTGGCTGGGCCATGTCGGAGCTGCACAGTGGTTTGGGGACCATGAGCTGGGGATCCTTTATCTTATGTGGGGCCAGGTCTGACGTCATGGGGGCTGGGGCCTCTCACAGTTAAACCTTAAACAAATGGAGCTGCCCCACCTCATGGGGTGCCCTGATAATGGGAGATGGCAGCCACTGCGTCACGAAGTCAAATACCCGGGCACCACCAAAAGGGTGGGATCTGCAGGCAGGGAAATAGAGCCAGGCACAGGCAGGATCTTGACTCAGCCCCAGGAGAGAGGAAGCCTGGGGAAGGGGTGGCCTCCAGGCTACAGGGAGCTGAGAAACTGGAGTTCGTGTTCTAGGAAGTCTGAGCTCTGGCTGGGGGCAGGATGAGGAGGGACTCTGGGAAGAAATTGGCTTGTGGATCTTTCTCCAGTTTCACACTCGCCTCCTGCCTCTCAGCTGGCTCCACACCCTTGACTCACACAGGGTCATTCTTCCCACCCTGGGTGGGGCTTTCCTCAAGGATCAGGTGAAAGAGCAAGGGAGAGGAAACCCTTGTGTGGCCCACCGTGCAAAGACGGGTGCTTCGAGATACCCACATTCAGACATAAAGCTGTGGGGAGTGGTGGAAGCAGACTGAGACAAGTCAGATGCAGAGCCTAGAAACGTCATACAACTCACCATGGATGCAGACAGCTCCAGCCATCTAAGGCCTGAGGCCAAGCTCCCTGGCAGAGATGTTCAGCCTCTGGGAGCGTCTGCCTTTACTCTACCCCTCCCTATCACCACCCCAGCCTCCAAGCTCCCATCCACCCCAGAAAGACAAACCTGATTTCTAGAAACCCAGACGTTTCCCCTTCTGTTCCTTCCCATTCTGTGACAAAGTTTTAGCTCAGGAACAAGTGCCTGGGGCTGGAATAGGAGACGATGGGCTACCTGGATTGCTACCACCTCTGTGGCTGGTCTGTTGGCTCCCTGGGGGCCTGTGGCAATGGAAAGTAAGTGCCCTGGGCAAAGTCCTTGCTTTCCTCACTGCCCTGTTCTCAGCACCTGGGACAGGGCCTGGTACTCCGGAGGCAAGTGGATCAATGCTTGTTCCCTGGATAGAGTGGAAGCAGAGTTGGCTGTGAGTGCCTTAAGGGAAAAGAGCAACAGGGAGAGGGGATAAATCTGGGGACCCAGGGAGAGAAGGCCAGATCTCAGGAGAGCTGGGGCTCACACAGGATGCAACACATGGATCTCTCTTATCATCCAGTATGACTGATTTCTCAACCATAGGTAGGGCTGGAATGGGTAAAAAGTGGAGAGGAGGTCAACAGCTCATTAATGGAATTAATGGGAGATTAATGAGGCTCCATGGAATCTGGCCAAAGACTGACGTGCTCAGAACTGGGCAGATTTAATGCATCCCACAAGACCAGGAAACTGAGGCAGAGGCAGACCTTTTTCCACAACTCCATCTGGACTTGGGATTGACTGGTCCTTTTCCTTTCTTTAGGAACCCCAAACTCTAAGGCAGAGATTTTCCATAGGGAGGAGCAATCCCTCCATCCCCAAGGAATATTAGACAATTTTAGGTGACAACCTTGTCACAATTTTGTTTTTTTTTTGTCATTCGTGGGGCTTGAACTCTGGACCTGGGTGCTGTCCCTCAGCTCTTCAGCTCAAGGTTAGCAGTCTATCACTAGAACTACAGCACTACTTCCAGTTTTCTGAGTGGTTTATTGGAGATAAGAGTCTCATGGCCGAGGCTGGGAAGGTGGCTCAGTGGTACAGCACTTGCCTTGCATGCATGAGGCCCTGGGTTCGATTCCTCAGCACCACATAAACAAAAAAAGAAAAAAGCTGGAAGTGGTGCTGTGGCTCAAGTGGTAGAGCGCTAGCCTTGAGCTGAAGAGCTGAGGGACAGTGCCCAGGCCCAGAGTTCAGGCCCCATGACCGGACCCAAAAAAAAAAAAAAAAAAGAGTCTCATGGCCTTTCCTGCCCGGGCTGGCTTTGAACTGTGATCCTCAGATGTCAGCCTCCTGAGTAGCTAGGATTACAGGTGTGAGTCATCATGCAATCTTGTCACACTTTAGAGATGGGTGCTACTGCATCTAGTGGGTGAAGGCCAAAGATGGGTGCTGCTAAACATCCTGTAATACTTGAACAGCTTCCACAGAAAGAATGCTCCAGCCCCTTATGTCAATAATTCCAAAGGTAAGAATTTCTACGTTAGGATAAGCTGTAGTCAGAATTTGTGGATGAACCTCCCTCCTACTTCTTTTAGTCACAACTCTACTCAAAGGACTCTAGAGAGGAGGAACTTGGTGGGTAGGGGCCCAAGGTGATCTTTTCGCAGTCAGTGGTGTTGGCTCATTGAGCTAAAAGGCAGAGGAGCCAACCATAAAATAGATGGTTGAGCATCTCTGTGTGCTGACGCATGTATTAATGCTCACCTTACAAGTTATAACCAGAGAGACTGGCAGTACGATGTCATCTTCAGTTTCCAGATGAGGACAAACAAGCTTGGGACCAGAGAGTGCTAATCTAGTGCCTGCTTGCCCAGGCACCCGGCCAAGTCCCACAGAGGCTGCAAGACCAGTGGAGGGGGTGTGTGAGGCATTTTATTTAGGAAGGATTCTAGCTACCATCCTCACAAAGTGGTCCAAGGTGCATCCCAGAGCTGAGTTCTTCACCTGTCCCAAAGGAGAGAATTAGGAAATGTTAGGGAGTCAGGGGGCAACCTGCAGGGGTGGGGACTACCTAAGGAAAAAAAACTGTCCTCAGTTAAGCAGCTTGTCTGATAGTTGAGAAGGGTGAAAATGGAAAGAAAGAGGGATGGTCAAAGTCTCTAACTGTGCTTGCTCAGACTCTGCAAGAGCTTCAGAAACCCTCTGAGACAGAATAGGAAGTACTTTACACTTATAGCTAGGATCAAAGGCATATTCCAGCATCTATGGCTTATCGATTGAGATGTAGTTTCACTATCTGCTCCCCCTCCCGCCCCAGGCTGGCCTCAAACCACAATCCTTCAAATCTCTGACTCCCAACTAGCTGGGATTATAGATGCAATACCAATCACATCCCATCTTGCCTATTCCTTTTGATCTGTGGTGACTCAGCACTGTGATGGTCACCAGGTGAGCCTTCCTTTCTTCTGAGCCCTCCAACCTCCTCACAGCCCCACCCTGATTTGGTCCCTTCTGGGACCCAAATCACAGGTCAAGCCCCTTGTTCTTTAAAGACTGGGGACCTATCACAAGTCCACAGAGAGCATTGTGTCTGGGCCTAAACTAACACCACGTGATCTCTGGGGGATGGGTGTCACTAAGGTATCTCAAGAGGTTAATCCAACCAACTCTTTGCCCAGGAGGTCCTGGGTAGGGGCAGAGTTAGGGTGAGACCTTGAGCTCTTGACAAGGACCATCCCCTTCCCAGGCCTGAGTTGGGTCTCAGCTCTGTTCCTCCTAATAATGGAAATATCCTATCCCAAAGTCCTCCTCTTACTCTTACAAGTACAACTGTTCAGGATCAGGACACAGGGATAATCTCAAGGAAGTAGGATTTGGGAGCAAGTGTGAGGACTAGGGGGAAATGGTCAGGACTGTGTAAGACCTTGGGGAAGGATGGGCTGGACAACTGAACCACCTCTTCCCCAAATGGTTTTGGTTCTTTGTTCCTTTGGCAGAGAAAGAGAAGATGGCATGCGAAGGGACAGTGCAGACATCCTCAAATTCCTGAAGCCCAGTACTGGGGCTGAATCTGCTGAGTGGACTCCACCACCCAGGTGGGCATCTCAGTACAAGTTCCAAGAGATGCAGCATCTTAGATTCTTTACCCGTACACATAAGTGATCTAGGAACACTAGGGTTTATATGAGCCTGGTGCACAGCAGTGTCAGCTGTTGTTATATAGAAAAAGTGCAGGAGGGCTGGGTAGGTGGCTCAGTGGTAGAGCGCTTGCCTTGCATGCATGAGGCCCTGGGTTCGATTCCTCAGCACCACATAAGCAAAAAGAAAAAAGCTGGAAGTGGTGCTGTGGCTCAAGAGGTAGAGCGCTAGCCTTGAGCTGAAGAGCTGAGGGATAGCGCCCAGGCCCAGAGTTCAGGCCCCACGACCGGACCCCCCCCCCCAAAAAAAAGAAAAAGTGGGGAGCCGGGCACTGGTGGCTCATTGTAATCCTAGCTACTCAGGAGGCTGAGATCTGAGGATCATGGTTCAAAGCCAGCCGGGGCAGGAAAGTCCGTGAGACTCTTATCTCCAATAAACCACTAGAAAACCGAAAGTGGCGCTGTGGCTCAAGTGGCAGAGCACTCACCTTGAGCTGAAGAGCTGAGGGTCAGCGCCCAAGCCCAGAGTTCAAGCCCCATGACCAACAAAAAAAAGAAAAGAAAAAAGAAAAGAAAAAGTGGGGAATATCAGCCTGGAAAAAAGTAGGGTTCTTATCTTTCTTCTTAGGAAGATCCAGGTATGCCAAAACCTCTGTGTCCCCTTTTCTCTTCCTACTTATACATCTTGTGTATGCTGCTTTTTGTTCAGTTTTCTTCCCACTGGGATCCTGCTGCTCTCCTTAGTAAACCTGGGAGTACCTGAATGACTCCCTGTGGATTGTCTCTTCCTCCATTTTCTTGGTCTTGCTTTTGGCTTCTCTCCAGGTGCCTAGTACTCTCTGCCTACATCCTTCTGCACTTGCTCCCACTCATTTTGCCTGAGGGGACCTATAGGAGAGAGGCAATAGGAAGATGCACGGCCTGTGCCCTTGAGGATCACATGGTTCATGTGACTCAGGTGTCAGTCTGTTGAGCATGACCTCCTATGTTCTAATCTCTCTGCCATTAACTGCTGGGTGACCTTAACAAGTCATTCTCTATGGGCCTTAGTTTCCTAGATTTGTGTGTGTTTGTACCAGTGCTTGAACTCAGAGCCTGGGCACTGTCCCTGAGACTTTTTTTTCCCCTCAAGGCTAGCACTCTACCTCTAACACTTGCGCCACAGCTAAGCTTCCAGCTCCCACCCGCTCCTTTATTTTTTGGTGCTTAATTGGAGATAGGGGTCTCCTCAGCTCTCAGCCTCCTGAGTAGCTAGGGTTACAGGTGTGCACCACTGGTACTTGGCTAGTTTCCTGTTTTTTTTTTGGGGGGGTCCGGTCATGGGGCCTGTACTCTGGGCCTGGGTGCTGTCCCTCAGCTATGCAGCTCAAGGCTAGTGCTCTACCACTTGAGCCACAGCGCCACTTCCGGCTTTTTAATTTTTGCTTATGTGGTGCTGAGGAATCGAACCCAGGGCCTCATGCATGCAAGGCAAGCGCTCTATCACTGAGCCACCGTCCCAGCCCAGTTTCCTGTATTTTGAAGAAGGGTTGTAAACTAGTTGGGACCCAAACTCCCTCTACACATGGGTCCTAGTGCTTGCCCTTGGTTTGGAATAGCTACATATATCTCCTTTGCCTGGGTGGGCAAAAGTAGGGTGGATAATTGGTAGAAACTCCAATCTCCACCTGAGTATCTCACATGTGTTGGAGATTTAAACTGTTCAAAGATGGAAGTCCCCATTTTCTAGGTTCTCATTTGGAAAGCCAGAGGCTAAAACAGAGGACACCTTAGCTGGCAAAGGAACTTGACTTAATTACCCCTCCCTGTTGGGCCTACATTCCTGAGTCCCTGAGTGGCAGTAATGATGACTATTAATAGAAGTTAATAATTAATCACTAAAGAGCACCAAGAAGCCCAGGCTTGGGTGGGGCTCAGACACCTGCTGGTGAGCCACCTTCCTGCTTTCCTCTTCAAAGGACCAGCAGCTCCCTTCCTCCCCCACAGACTTGCTAACAGGGATGAAAACAAGGGACAAACCCAGAGAAGGGACTTACCCTCTCCTTTCCTCAAGAGCCCCATGAAGTGCCCACTCCAGGGTCCTGAAAGCCATACAGGGTGAACTGGAAAATCCAGTTCCCAGATCCTCCTCCTATTCCCCCCCACATTGCCGTTAAGGACTGAGAGCCCACAGGGACATCAGATGAGAAGTGAGGTGGCCACAATGAGGCTCATACTGCCCCTCTTCCTCCTCCTATCCCTCCTCACCAGCTCACATGCAACAGGTAGGGGCTGGAAGGTGGCCATCTGAGTGTCTTGAACATGGAGAAAGGGGAGGGACTCCTTGGCCACTGAAAGATGGCGGAGCTTCCTAGGATCCAGGCAAATCCCTGCATCAGAGCGACGGTCGGGGGGGGGCATCCTGAAGGAGGAATCATGCAAGGTGTGGGTCAGGAGGTACCTGCACCCTGAAGGAACAGAGCCCTGACTGCAGGGTCCTAAGTTGCAATTTTGGGTTCTCAGGGCCAACGGCAACTTTGCAAGTGAAGCTGAAGACTTTTCTGGCCAATGTCTCCCATGACTCCAGCTTCCTGGACTTGCCTGGAAAGGTAGTGAGGGGCTGTTTGGGAGAGACTGGGGGCGGGGGTGGGGGCGCTGTTTGTTTCTGGGAATCAATTTGGGCTCTGCTGGGAGCTGGCTGTCACAAGCATGGGGTGGAGGAGCCATCTTACCCCTCACTCTGGTCCTTTCTGTTCCTCAGCTCTGCCTCCTCCTCCACCTCCCATCAGGGACCAATGTCACCCTCCATCATAAAGGACCCCCGCACCACTTTACCTGCAAAGACTGAGAACAACTGAAGCCTGTGTTAGCCCGGGCATTCAGCCTCAGGTGCTGGGACCATGCCTTGAACCCGCCTGTCTTCCAGTAGTCCCTCGTTTGCTGCATGCCAATAAACACACTGAATACAGTGCTTCAGTGGGTCCATGCACTGGGTGGGCAATGGGAGCAGGATACTCAAGTCTGACTCCCAGCTGCTGAGTGTGGGGTTTATGGTCTCTCTCAACACCACAAAGGCCTAAAAGGAATCTGGGAAATTAAGTAACTGTACACATACACACAACTTTTGGGCTTCGGGACACTCAGGAATACAGGAAAATTAAGTTAGGAATCCCTACTTTGTTTTAAGCCTATTACTTAGAACATTCCATGTGGCAACCTTAAATGTCCCACGTTAGGTATCATTACTTTATTTTACAAGTAAGGAAATTGAAACTTAATGTGACTCACTCAACTTTCAATGGCAGTGGAGAGATTAGACACCAGCTAGGTGTATGTTTAAGCAAGATTTTAATTTCAGCCCCTTTAGCTTAAGCTAAGGCAGGGATGTGGACCGAATACCCATAGAACATGGTCCCCAGGCCCAGAGGCCACACAGGCTGGCAGGGTGGAAGCAGGGGCAGGCCAGGGAGAGTGGTTCAGCAGTGAGAAGTGGTGTGGGGCCCCACCATTGCAGAGCTCTGCACTGCTTATGCCCAGCATGAAAAACATTCATCTTCAGTCATCATTACACTTGAACAAAGGACATGCAACTAAGTTATTAGGCTCAAGAATTGGGTTAAATCCTTGTGATACCTTGGACAGGTTACTTCTAGTCTGAGCACATTTCCTCTCACCTTAGAAGGCTCTTCACACGATTAAATGACATTGGATATCCAGTACTATAGAGGACTAAGGATCCAAGGCAGGCTTGCCATAAATAGCTACTCAGAGGTGCTGGACAGACTGCAATGTGGGCATGGAAGGACAAAGCCTCTGAATTCTACTGAGACAAGTCAAGGTGTTTAGGTGGGCAGGGTGGCTACTGGTGCATCCGTGCACATGTAAGTGTGTCTCTGGTGGTGCTCAGAGGACAGGGGGCACACAGGCCCCAGCACACCCTGCAGCCCCTCAGGCCTGGAGGAAGGCCAGCTTTTCTCAGCACCTCTGGGGATAAGTAAGGTGCAAGGAAGCTTCCATCTGCTGAGAAGTGGAACATGAAGGCCCTATACCAGCCAGAGCACTGGAACTGAGGTCATCGTGTCCATGCCTCACCCTAATACTAGAAGGTTCCTCCTCCTCCAGAGAGGTCACCTCTACCCAGCACCCACACTTCCATGTAGCCCAGGGTCAGGACCTAAGAGGAAGTCTTCCTCTCTTCCCAGACCAGGCCTGTAAGGAACGATGGAGAAGTAAGAATGTTACCAAAAGGGAAAAAGACAAAAAGCCCATTAGCAGACACAGGTGAGATTTTTATGAGTTTATCTGAAACTCCTTGTTCCTAAACTGGCGGCTGGGCTGTACAGGAGAGCCAGACAGTAACCGCACTGTCTCTGGCCAGGTAGGTGGCTTCCTCATTTATAAAATGAAGGTGGACCGTGGAATCTCTGACGCCCCACCACACCTGACACCTGACAGATGTGCTGACCTCAGATGGGTCTGCAAGGGAGGCCAATGAACAGGGATATGAGTTAGAGCTCAAAGCTCCCTGGGGCTGGGAGCCTCATCCATCAGCTGCTGGAGGTGAGAGGCCGCCTGGTCCAGTTTTGACAATTCCAGCTGGAGAGCGGAAAGCTGAGTAAGGAGAGAGAGCAGTGAGGACCGGGGTCTGAGCTCACCCCACCAGCACATGCTTCCTCAGGGGTGCAGGTTTCCTAAGAGGCCTCCAAGCCTTACCCTTTGCTGCTTCTGTGTCTCTGCCTCCCCTTCGGATGGGGTCCAAGCCATGAGGCCATCAAGCTGCTTCTGCAACTTGAGTCTTCGGGTGGCTAGCCGAGGCAGCTGAGTCTGGGGGTCTACCAGGCCCTGGGAAGAGAAGGTTGACTTGCCTGCAGCCTGCTCAGGCCTCTACCTTCTCCACTATGAGGCCCCTTTCCCAGCCCTTCCACTGTACCCAGCATTCTTCCCCATCGCTCCAGTCCCCTTTGATCACCTGCAACTCCATGTAGACCTCAACAGTGTCACTGAGGGTGGCCTGCGCCCAGCCTGAGGGAGCTGCTGCACCTGGGGGCAGGAAGCTCACAGCTCCACAGTGGCTCAGGGTGCCCAGGGGCTCCAGGAAGGCCTGGAAGAGGCCCTGCTCCCCTGGCTCCAAGGTCTGCAGCAGTACTGGGGAGGGAGTGAGAGAGGGAAGATCAAGCCCCAGGTATCAGCTCCTGCCTCCTTTCCCATCCTGAACCTCCAGACCCTAGCTCTGCTCTCTCTGGTGCTCCTTCTCCAGCAGCCCCTTCTTCCTGCAGCCAAATGCCTAGGATCTCACCTTGGGGCCGGGCTTTGGTGAGTTGGTAGGTGGCTCGAAGAGCTCGAAGCATCTGCACGGCTTCCTGGACCTGGGAGAAGCGCTGCTCCAACTCAGGATGGCGCCAGTGCTCCTGGCAAAGGGAACCCAGAGTTTGTAAAGCCTCAGCATCAACTCCCTTGGCTTTGCCCTGCACTCGTCCACCCTCATCTCCCTAGGGTAACAGATCTATCTTCAAAAGCACACAAAATGTTCCACTAAGGAAAGGACAACACACAATCAGATTAGAATCTTAAACAACATCCAAATGTCACAAAACCAAGAAAGAGTTTTTGACATTTATCTTTCTAAGTTATTAAACTTTCCCTGAGATTTAAAGGACACTCTGATACTCTCTTGTTTAACTGACCTCACAAGTATGCCTGGACAGTACAAAGGTGGGAGGAACTAAGGTAGTCACACAGAAAATACCAATCTGGTAAGAGTCCTGATTTCGACCACTAGGCTAACACTGCCTCCAGACACACTGCAGGGCAATCCATCCTCTCCAAGGCTCCACGGCAAAGTGTGAACCGCTATGGTAATGTCCATAGCAGCAAACCCTGCCAGAGGCTGCCCCCACTTTTGCTGGAGTTACATGCCAATGAACTAGATTGTGACTCACCAAGCTGTGGGCACTAGGGTAGGGTGCAACACAGATGCTGGGAGCCAAGAAGCCACCTGGCCTTTGGGGCAGCCTCTGCCAGAGCTCTTCAGCCAGGAAGGGCATCAGTGGGGCCAGGAGGCGGAGACCAACATCTGCGCAGGAGAATAGGACCTGAAGTGGCTCAGGGGGGCGGGGCTTGCGCAACAGCACTGGCTTCACAGCTTCCTAGAAAGGAAGCCCAGGGGTCAGAGGGGAGTCCACAGCAACATCCTTCCTCCACAGTGGCTGCTGTACCTGTGGGCACTGCTGTAGGCAAGCTGGGGAGTTCTTAAGAGAGGCCTAGGCATGCCTGACACCACCCACATGCTAGTGCACATGAAGAGAGGAAATCCAGGCAGAGATTCTCACAGGGAGGTGAAAATAAGATTTCCTAGGAAGATGTGAAATTTGTGGGAAAGCCAGATAAAGAAACAATGGACAAGGGTGTGGTTGATGGCTAGAGCCATCAGTACCACTTGGGAAGAGAGCACACATTCTCAACACCCAGCCCGACCTGCAAAAGGATCTGCTCTGGGGTGGCCAGGCAATCTGTGGTCAACAGGCCACAAATGACTCTGACGTGAAGCCCTTCGGGTAGACCCTCGTCTGAAAGCCATCATGCTCTCCTCCCAGGCACCTTGTAGTACCTGGCTGGACGTGATCTTGACAGAGTACTTATGGGGACTGCAAATGTTCTTTCTTCTTTGCAACCCTGCCTGGCAAGTATTTTCTAGAAGACTTCCTAGTCTCTCTCAGGTGAGAGGCAGGTAACAGTACTCAGGCTGTGCTGCAGAGACCAATCCAGGGGAGGGAAACTGGGACTGCCTTTCCTTTCCTTTCTCACTGAGAAGCCAATTAGGCATCATGAAATCCATTGCTTTCAGCTATCACCAGAGTTCAGGAGGAACTAGCAGCAGGCCACAGGAGGAAGGGCTGCTGCTTACCAGGTAGACATCACAGAGGTTGTGGAGCCAGAAGTGATGCAGGGTATGGGTGACCAGGGAGAGCTCCTGGGTGAGGAAGCCACGCTCACACTCACGGGCAGCAAGGGCCAGGCGGCTCAGGATCCAGGCATCCATGGGGGAGGTGGGAGACAGCTGAGGGAGGGGACTGGTATCAGGACCTAGAGGGTGGATCCCCAACTTCTTGCCTCTTTTCCTTCAGCCCCCTAGACCCCCACATCAAACATAACTACTTCCTCTCTCACCTCCTCTGAAGGTTGGGGTACAAAATTCTCCCCTAGGGCATTGAGAATAAAACGCAGGGCATTCCAGATCTTGTTGCAGAAATGGCGGCAGCTCAGGACCTCAGAGACAGACAGGTGCAGGTCGCCCCCTGGAGGGCAGACAACCTGGATGGAGTGCGCATGTGGGATGGATGCAGCATCCCAGGAAGTTGTCTAGGCTGCTGCCTCGGCTCGCCATCACTTCACCTCCCAGCTTACCCAGGACTCCATGAGAGCACAGTGCGAATCTCAGGGCATCTGTCCCACATTCAGGTATCCCATGAGGAAAGTCCTTTTTCTGTAACCAGAGGAAGAAGAGCTTGGCAGATACCAGCCAAGATGCAGGGCAGAGCTAGAAGTGTGGTAGAAGCCAGTGGCCAGACTAGAGGCCTGCACCGGGCAGAGAAAGCATCTTACCTGTGCTGCAGCTGCAAAGGCCAGCTCTGCGGGGTCCAGGTTCCCATCTCTTAGCTTGGCCTGCAGCACCTGGGGATGGGTGAGGAAATCGTCTCAAGCCTGCCACTATACCTGCTGTCCTTTACCTGTCCTCTTCTTAGACTCCTATCTCTCCGGCCAGGCTCTCCTCACCTGCAGCTCCACACCACTGATGATGTCCCGTGGATCCAGCACATTCCCCAAAGACTTGCTCATCTTCCGGCCCTGCCTGTCCCGAACCATGGAATGAAGAAGCACCTGAGGGCGCAGAGGGGGTCAATGGGGTGGGAATGGGGTTAAGACCTATAGTTTCTGGACTCTAGGGATCAGAAAAGTGAATCCAGAAATTAGGAACACAGAAAACATATGAGGAGTCAGGGAAGGGAAGACAAGTTAGGGGAAAACAGGAGCCAGAGAGGCAGGGCACTAATTGCTGTTACCTTGCTGAAGGGGAGCTGCCCCGTGAGCTGGGTCCCCAGCATGACCATTCGGCCCACCCAGAACAGCAGAAGGTCACTGCCCGTTTCCAAAAGTGACAGGGGGTAGAAATGCGCAAGGTCTGGAGTCTAGGAGGAAGAGGTAAGTGCTAACTAACCAAGTCCAAGCTGCCTGCCCCATGTCTATTAGGCTGGACTCCATGGATGCCCAGCTCTCCAACTTCTACACCAGACCCATCTTCACCCTCCCACTATCAACTCACCTTTTGGGGCCAGCCCAGGGCAGAAAAGGGAAAGAGAGCAGAAGAGAACCAAGTATCCAGGACATCGGGGTCTGGGAACAGAATAGGGATTGGGGACAGTTGAAACCTTGGTGTCTAGCACCTTAGATTCCTGCTGCCCATCCTTCAGGACAATCCTCACCCCCAGAGCCCAGGTGGCTCACCTCCTGCCCCACTCCCAGCTTGCCTGACCCCACCTACTCCCTTTAAGGGCCCATTACCCACCCCTGTTCACTCCTTTTCTCTTCTCAGCCCCTCCTTAGCGCTGTACTCACCCCTCTCCAGGGTCAGCTCTGTTCCTGGTCTCCCAGTCAGTTCTGCTGCTGCCTGTCTGGCCTCTGCCTCAGACCGCCCCACCACCCAGCAGTCCTTGTCATCCTGCTAAAGAGGTGGGACAAGGGAGGAAAATGACAAGGGTCAGGTATAAAACTTAAATCTTCCTGTTTTCTCCCGATGTCTTAGAAAGGCCAGCCTCTCTGTGCTGAGCCTCTGTCACACAGTCGGTCTCATGACGAAGACCACAAAGTGCATTAGCAGGCAGGAGCTGGCTCTGGAAATAGCAGTTCACTGACTCCTGGGTAAGGCTCTCCCCACCCTACCCAGCCTCCTCTACCAACCTTCTCATGCCCCTCAGTGACAAGGTAGGCTGGAATCCGATGGCCCCACCACAGCTGCCGGGAGACACACCAGTCCCTGTGGAGAGAAGAGTCAGTGACCCCTCAACATGACCAGTAGCGCGCCCTCCCCCCCCCCCCCCACACACACACAAATGCTCTTCTCACGCTTACCCAATGTGAGCGAACCAGTGCTGCCAGCTCTTCTGGTGGAAAGATGGACAGAGCTCCAAAGCCCCCGACTCCACAGCCTGGAGAGAAAGAGGCATTTAAGAAATGCTTTCCTGCTGGGCACTGTTGGCTCACACCTGTAATTCTACTTAGGAGGCTGAGATCTGAGGATCAGGGTTTGAAGCCAGCTTAGGCAGGAAAGGCCATAAGAGTCTTATTTCCAATAAACTACTCAGAAAATGCCAGACTCTGTGGCTCAAGTGGTAAGAGCACTAGCCTTGAGCACAAAGAGGCCCAAGGACAGTGCCCAGGCCCTGAGTTCAAGTCCTAGGGCTGGCAAAAACAAAACAAACAAAAAAATGCTTTCCTGCCAGACACCAGCTACTCAGGAGGCTGAGATCTGAATTGTGCGTCAAAGCCAATCTGGGCAGAAAAGTCTGTGAGATTCCATCTCTAAAATAACCAGAAGAAAAACAAACAAACAAACAAACCTGGGCTCAAGTCATGGCTGCTCAAGTGGTAGAGTGTCAGCAAAGCAAGCAAGCTAAGCAGTCATATAGCTTTGAGTTCCAACTCTGATCTCAGGAGACAGAGATCTGAGGATATTGGTTCAAAGCCAGCCCCAGCAGCAAAGTCCACGAGACTCTTATCTCCAATAAACTAGTAAGAAAAAGCTGGAAGAGTGGCATTGTGGCTCAAGTGGTAGAGCACTAGTCTTAAGCCAAAGAATCTCAGGGACAGCACTCAGGCTTTGAGTTCAAGCCCCAGGACCAGCACCAAAGGAGAAAAAAAAAAAAAAGAAACAATGCTTTTCTTCCTACCCAGCAGACCCGATTCTGGGATAAAACAAATGGCCTCTGAGGTAATTTTGTAACTCTGGAAGGACCTCCCAAGCCTCCCCCAAGGATCCTGAAGGAGACAACCCTCTGGGAGTCACTTTGCCTCTTCAATTACCATGACTAGAGAGCATTCAGGTCAGGACATCCCTTGCTGCTTCATCTCAGTTCTCAGGGGTTCCTCTAGCCCCTAGGCCCAGTCCTTCCTTGTACTGAAGCCTCACCTGGGCAGCTCGGTCCCCCATTTCCTGGCAGCGAACAAACCACTGGCTCTTCAGTAGGTATTCCACCACATCCCCAGAACGGCTGAAAAAGAGAGAGAAGGAGGTCAGTGCTCTCTGGCCCTGTGCACAGGAGCCTACTCCATAGGCTGGGCCTGTGAACAGGACTGACACAACACCTATTTTCTAATGCAGAGGGTTCAGAGCCCATCTGCCAGCACTCTTAAGCTTCACCCATTCCCTTTTGGGTGGCCCTCAGCAAAGGTGGTTTTTTTGTTTGTTTTTTTTTGGGGGGGTCCGGTCTTGGGACCTGAACTCTGGGCCTGGGCGCTGTCCCTCAGCTCTTCAGCTCAAGGCTAGTGCTCTACCACTTGAGACACAGCACCACTTCCGGCTTTTATTCTTTTTGCTTATGTGGTGCTGGGGAATCAAACCCAGGGCCTCATGCATACAAGGCAAGCGCTCTACCACTGAGCCACCTTCCCAGCCCCAGCAAAGGTGTTAAAGTGGAGCTACCTGCATATGGGCAGTACCATGGGGTGGTCCTGGAGGCCCCGGAACTGGCCCCGCTCCCTCAGTGCACACATAATCTTCTCCCGGGCCACAAATCGGTGAAGACCCTGGGAAAATAGTGGTGATAGGAAAGATCAAAGGCCTTTTGAGAAGGAAAGGGGAAGGGAGAAGGGGAGGTGGGCAGAGGGAACCCCCCCAGAGGATGGGGTAAAACCGAGGCTGACCCCACCTGCAGCCAGTCCCCACAGAGTGAGGTCATGGTCCCATCCTCCGCAATGACAGTCAGGGGGCTCAAGCCATGCCGGGCCCCCATCTCAGCGTCAGCAGGACTGTGAGCTGGAGTGATTTTCACTGCTCCTGCGGAAGCACAACTGCAGCAGGTACTGACCCTGACCTGGGCTATGGGCTTTTCTAGTCACACTGTCACCTACATTGCCCTATCCCTCCCCACCTTCTGTCTGTGCCTCCCTGTCATTCCCACTGCCCTCCCTCATTTCTCTCCTCCACTTTCCCTCCCTGACCTCCACTCACCTGTGCCCACCTGCGGCTGAACAGCAGGGTCTGTGATGAGGGGGAGAAGCTGCCCTGTCAGAGGGTGACGGAGCTGTCGCCCATGTAGATGCTGAGGGAAAGGAGAAGGATCAGGGGTGGGTAGACCTACAGGGAGGAAAGGTCTAGGGTATGAGAACCCCAGGAACAAGAGGATGGAGACCAGAGGTAAAAAGCTAAAGCAAGGTCAACATACTTCTTCAGGGACCAGAAAGTAAGTACTGTGGCAGAGCTAGAGAACATATCTAGAAGAGCAGCCATAGACACGACACACACAAGTGAGTGTCTCTCATATAAAAGGAGATAGCAGCTGAAATTTGGTCCAGGTGCCACAGTGGGCTAATCCCTGAACTAGAGAAAAAGAAAAGGGAGCAGAGCAAATTACACTGTGGAGATGAGAGAAGTCTTAGAAGAGTAGGAAGGGCAGAGACATTACTCAAGTAGTAGAGGACCTGCCTAGCATGTGTGAGGCTCTGAGTTCAAGCTCCAGGATAGAAGAAAGAAGGAAGGAAGAAAAAGAAGAGGAGAAGGAGCCTGGTGCCGGTGGCTCACGCCTGTAATCCTAGCTACTGAGGAGGCTGAGATCTGAGGATCACAGTTCAAAGCCAGCCCAGGCAGAAAAGTCCGTGAGACTCTTATCTTCAATAAACCACTAGAAAACCAGAAGTGGCGCTGTGGCTCAAGCAGTAGAGCACTTGCCTTGAGCTGAAAAGCTGAGGGATAGTACCCAAGCCCAGAGTGCAAGCCCCGTGACCGACGAAAAAAAAAAAAAAGAGAGGAAGGAGAAGGAGGAAAATGAGGAGGAGGAGAAGGAAAGGAAGGAAGGAAGGATGGAAAGAAGGTAAGGAAAGGAAAGAAGGGGAGGAGATCAAAGAGAAAGGGAGGGGAGGACAGAAGATGAAGCAAATAAGTGGACTATGGGGAGAATGGGTTGGGTGCAGGCAATATTTCTTACTGTGTAACGGGAGTCATCAGGGTGAACAGCTACAGCCACATCTCCAGGCAATGTTTCTGGCCTTGTGGTTCCCACCACTACCTCTGCATCTAAAGATAAACATGGCAGCTGGTCATCACACCCTCTGCTTGCTCTGACACAGTAAAGCCAGCAGAGCTACAAGAGGGAAGGGCAGAGAGTATCAAGGTGGGCCTAGGAACCACAAGGAAAATCAGGAGCCATGTTTATAGGAGCCCAGGTTTCCTGTAACTGTATGACGAGGAGAGGGTGTGACTGTAAAGGAATTTCCCAAGACTTTGTATGGAAGAATCCAAGATAATAGTGACAAAAGCACCTAAAGCCTACTGAGTGCCTGAGGACACTTGGAAATCTCAGTCCTAATCACAAATGTGCCTTTTTCAGACCACTGAAAACACTGCTTTGGACCATTCTCTCTCTCTCTCTCTTTTTAAATTGTGAAAATACTGTACAGAGAAGTTACAATTACATGGTGCTTTGGACCATTCTTGATCAGTCTCTTTTCTTCTCTGATCTCTTCAGACAACTTACTGTACGAACCATACGTTAGAAGTGATCATTTGTCTCTTTCCTGTGAAGCAGATGGCTACTGAATAACACCAAATGCATGCTTACATCCTCCATAATAGCCAAGGTAAGTGCTCACAATGCAAACACTCCCAATATGGACATGAGAAAATACGAAACAAGCTGGGCATGGAGGATCATGCCCGTAATCCTAGCTAATTTGGAGGCAGAGCAGGAAGATTACAGTTCAAGGCCAGCCCAGGCAAAAATTTAAGTGACCCTGTCTCAACCAACAACAAACAGGTGCCATGGTGTACACATGTCATCTCAGCTATGGGAGAAGCATAAATCGGAAGATCACAGTCAATCTTGGCCTGGGCATAAGTGTAAGGCTCTACTCAAAACTGAAGGAAAAAATAAAACCAAGGAGGAAGAAAATGTAAAGTGGAGCAACTCACCAGGCTCTCCATCCACAGGGAAGGCAACAGAAACAAGGAAGCCAAAAGACACAGGGGTGGGACAGCCAGGCAGCCGGAGTTCTGTGCGTCCAGGCAGAGGCCGGTTCTCCACCTGGAGAAGTCAAGGAGGCCAGGTAAGAGTCACCTCTCTACAGAGCTCACAGGCAGGATGCCTGCTTCCCACCCCAGCTTCCCTGCAATCCATCTAAATCCTGGAGGGGCTGGGAACCACTCCCTTTCCCCTCACCCAATTTTTGTGCCATTGGTTACAGTACACATTCACTGAGCATTAGGTCATGCCGAGGTATTGTGCTGAGCATGTCACACCAAATTTTGCTTCATTTTACAATCCTGAGAAACAAGCATCCCAGCATCTCTGATTTGACAGTTTAAGAAGTGGAACTTAAAGGGACAAAAGCCTGCTGAAAATCATACCATTTTTAGGGAAGTATTCAGACTGAATCCAAGCAGTGCAGCTCCAGAGCCTAAGCTCGTAATCACTAGATTACTTGCCTTACAGTCCTCAGAAACCCTTGCCTCACCTCAATATCTGAGATGGCTGATCTTAAAGCACATGACCAGTTGACAAGCTGACAGTTCCTGTACAACAACCCTGCATTGTAGAGTCGCACGAAAGCTTCAGTCACAGCCACTGAAGAACCCTAGAATGACGACAGTGACCAAATCAGCCCCTCCCAGTTGAACCTGCTCCCTCTTGAGGGACCCCTGTCTTGAACCTCCCTTCCTTAAGAAGCCTGCTCCACACATGGATCTCTAAAACCCTACCCAACACCCAAAAGGACTCTAGCATGGAACACTCACAGCATCCATGGTAAAACACTCCCGATCCCAGTCCAGGGAGGCCCCCAGAGCACGTAACTGCTCACAGATCTCTCCTCCTTTCCTGCACCAGAGATACATGTCAGCAATCAACACAGCCAGAACTTCCCGAGTAACTAGCCCAATGATGCTACCACAAAGCCAGATGCTACAGGAAAATAAAATACAGATGGCCCTTATCTAGCCTGCCAAGCTGATGGACATGAAACCTAAACACAATGTGAGGCTTTCCACAGCATTAAAAGAGGTAGAAGGGGGCTGAGAAGGTGGCTCAGTGGTAGAGTGCTTGCCTTGCATGCATGAGGCCCTGGGTTCAATTCCTCAGCACCACATAAGCAAAAAGAAAAAAGCTGGAAGTGGCACTGTGGCTCAAGTGGTAGAGCACTAGCCTTGAGCTGAAGAGCTGAGGGACAGTGCCCAGGCTCAGAGTTCAGGCCCACGACCGGACCCCCCCCCAAAAAAAAAAAGAGGTAGAAGGCCAGGCACCAATAGCTCACACCTTGTTATCCTAGCTATCCAGGAGGCTGAGATCTGAGGATTGCAGTTTGAACCCTGCCTGCACAAGAAAGTGTGAAACTTTTACCTCCAACTAACCACCAAAAAAGCCAGAAGTGAAGCTGTGGCTCAAATGGTAGAGCACTATCCTTGAGCATAAAAAGCTCAGGTACCAGGATCAGGTCCAGGCTGGAGTTCAAGCCCCAGGACCAGCACATACATACACATATACATACACACCCCAAAGAATCTACAGAGGAGGGACAGTCACTTTGTGGAAAACCCAAGAGAACTGCGCAGAAATAATGACATGCCCTAACAGACTATCTTTCCAAATGAAGGCAATTTATGGAAACTGGGAGGTAGGAATGGACAGGTAGAAGAGGTGATGAATTACACACAAGAGAAATGGGGATGTGTACAAGAGAAACTAGGACACATGCAGGTACACACTAATACGTATATATAGTGTACATGCACTCCACCAAATGCTAAGGGGTTCTGTTCCAAAGCTTCTGTCTCAGGAATTTAGAGCCATCATGGGAAACAGAGGCAAAGCTTGCCATCTCTGGGTATCCTGTGGCCCTGTCCATCATACTCACTCCTCCTTCCACTGCCACACCTCCTTAAGGAAGTCCTCCCGGCCCAGTTCATGCCTCCTCACTCCCTGCTCCTTCCACAGTTGTTTCTCCACCACAGCCTGCAGTAGGATTAGGGGCAAATGATCCGTGAGTCAGCAGGCTTTGGGAGAAGATACAGCTTTCAGCCAAGAAGAGGAAAATGTGACCAAAGACCTACTTGTGTAGCAATTCCTGCATGATCTGAGCCAGGGACCCACAGTACCCGATCCCCACGCATCCGATGCCTGAAACAGAAATGCTCTCAGGGGAGCTCTGGGGCTCACATGCTTATCCTCACCCATTCCTGTACTTACTATCTTCCCTCTGCACTGCCAAAGACCCCATCCCCCTCTCACCAGCGCACAAGGGCATCCTGGATAGCCACTGTCAGTGCATGGCCAATGTGTAGAGAGCCAGTGACATTCGGAGGTGGGATACACATGGAGAAGGTCTCTCCTGTAGCCTGGGGCAGCCTCGTCTAGAAGGAGGAAAGTCAAAGGAAAAGAGAGGACTGAAAATTACCTAGGGGAATAGCACCCTCTGGTGCCACCAAAGCAAAAAGAACTTCAGGAAGAATCAGCAAAGGTGAGAAGAAAGCAACAGAAACATTGGCAGAAGCCAGGAACCAAATGAAAAGAAACTGCAGTGTCAACTGGACTCTGAGACTCATCTGTGCTCACCTACTTGAAGGACCACTCTCTCCGGGGGTCCTGAGAACCATTTAATACCCTCTCAACTAGGCACTAACCTGATATTCTGGTTTGAAGAAGCCCTCTCGAACCCACCATGGGTACCAAGAAGCCTCAACATATCGGGGGCTGTAAGCAGGAGGCAAGGGTACTGACACATCTGTGAAGCAGAAGTGAACTCCATTAACTATTGAACTTTGTTCCAAGCTGTGCAATGCTTATTCTGCAGACCAAATGGACAACTAAAATAGTAAAGAAGTGTGGTTGAACATGCCTGTAATCCTTATGAGGAGGCAGATGCAAGGAGGATCATGGATTGAGAATAGCTTAAGCTACTTAGTAAGTTCCAGGGCCAGTCTGAGCTACACCCTTACTTAAAAACGAAAAAAAAAAAGTGAAAAGTCTTCAGGCTCCCCAGTTACCTTTCTTTTCACCGGGTTCTGTTGGGATTTCATACAATACTATCTCCTTAGGACTCCATGCCTTACTGGTCTCTGCAGGTGACTGGAAGGCGGGAACAGAAGGGGAACTTGAAACTCCCAGTATACACCATCTGGCCCCCAGGCTGTCTCCTCCAGTCTCCCACCCAAGTCTTTTTGAGACCCAAAGACAAACTGACCCCTAACCTTGCTTTTCCGGGTTATGGCAGCTTCCAGCGCCTCCTGCTTCTCGCGCAGGCGCTTCTGCTTGGCTTCACGGTTCCTCCGAGAGACAGAGGAGCTATGGGGCTCGGATTGTGTGGAAAGGGGACGGGGCTTGGGGAGGCCCCGTGAGGGCCTCAGCCCCCAGAATGGTGGCCGAAACGAGGCCAGGGGCAAATGAGGCATCGGGAGTGTTCGCGGAAGCGGCCAGGATCAGTTCCAGAGCACACCAGGAGGACAAGCGGGCGCAGGGAGTCACACCCCCTTTATTTCCCGCCTTCTACACTAGCATGCACCCCCTGCTCCGCGAGGGCTGGGGTACCGTGCGGGCAGCACCCTGGAGACCGCAGCTCAGGGACGGGATGACGAACATTCAAGGGCCCCTACGAGCAGGCCGGGTGCCGCTTGCTGCGCGTCTGGCCGGCCGGCACGGCCTCCCCGCGGCGCCACCACGTGGGCCTGGCCCTCAGCGACTCCCCGCGCCCCCCAGCTCCCGGAGTCGGCCACGCTCGCGCTCACCCCGCGACCCCGCGGCTATCCCAGGGCGCCCCGCGGCGGTAGGGGTATTGGGTACCAGCGTCCCGGACACCGGAACCCGGCCGGCGACCCGAGCGCACGTGGGGGCGTGGCCACGTGCGGCGCATGCGCGAAGGCCGGTCTTGCCTCCCGGCTCCGCCCCGCCGTCAGAGGGCCGCGGGCGCGGACGCGAGCTGGTGTGCGGGACGTGTTGTCTGCGGGGAGGTGTGCGGGGCTGTGCAGCTCACTTCCAAAACTTTATTGTAAACAAGAAAGGTTTCCGCGGGTGAATAATAATAATAATAATAATAAAAAGCACCTGAGTTATGAGGCCGCGGCCGCCATTGCGGGGCCGGCTCGCCCATCCCGCCCGGGCCCGCCCGCCCGCCCGCCAGGGTCCGGTCCCGGCCCGGGGTGCTCCGGTTCTCCGGGCTCAGGAGCTGTGCTTCTGCCGCTTCCAGAAGCGCTTGACGTCGCTGTGCCCGGCCGGGGTCACCACCATGAGCCGCTTGGCTGAGTTCTCGAACACCAGCACGCCCAGCTCCTTCGCGTGCGCCAGCAGCAGCTCGAAGTCCACTTGCGACAGGAACTGGTTGTACAGGACGCCTGGACGGGGCGGGACGAGGCGGTGGGCCGGAGCGGCCTGTGCCTCAGAATTAAAAAGCTCTGTGTGTGGGTCACTAGTGTGATCTAGACATGTTCAAGAAGGTAATATAAGAAGCCCCTAGCTATTCAGGAGGCTGAGATCTGAGGATCACAGTTCAAAGCCAGCCTTGGCAGGAAAGTCCATGAAACTCTTATCTCCGATGAACCACCAAAAAGCCAGAAGTGAAGCTGTGGCACGCACGTGCATGTGTGCGCATACACACAAAAGCAGAAAGGATGTAGGAAAGGAAGAGGAGGGAGGAAGAAAACCTGTAACTTAGGGTTGGGAAGGTGGCTCAGTGGTAGAGTGCTTGCCTTGCGTGCATGAGGCCCTGGGTTTGATTCCTCAGCACCACGTAAGCAGAAAAAGCCGAAAGTGGCACTGTGGCTCAAGTGGTAGAGCGCTAGCCTTGAGCTGAAGAGCTCAGGGACAGTGCCCAGGCCCAGAGTTCAGGCCCCAAAACCGACAGAAAAAAAAAAAAAAGAAAACCTGTGACTTGCTCACTCACCAAACCCAGAAAAATAATGAATCACTTCTCCCACTTGCCTTCTAGCCAAATCCAAACTACTGATTTGACACAATTCATTTACTGTTACAAATTCACCCTAAAACAAAAGTGTCTTGCTAGTTTTTCTCCTCCATTCCCTAAGTAAACAAAAAATGAAATGCACAGGAACTTTTTCAGTCCATCAAGACTGAACTACCTGCTCTTCCTCTGGCCAGGAACTTGGACCGGCCACTAGAAGCCACTTACCTTCAGTGAACCGGAGTCTGTCCCTTTCCAACTCCCATAGCCTAATCTGGTCTGTGATGGTGGGGGGCAGCACCGGGGTCTGCAGGAGCAAGGTTGGGCTGTAGGGATTCAGGAATGCTGCCCCAGACTCCCACAGCCCTCCACTCTTTCCCAGGGTTTGGACACCCCTTTTCCTCTTCTACCATTTCATTGCAAGGTGCCATGGGCTACCAGCATCCTGGTACCTGTTTGAGCATCACTGGGTGGGCCCTTGTCCTTAGGAAATGGATTATCTAGGAAAAGATAAGAGTGCCATGAGGGTTCAAGAAGGCAGGAAAGCCATCTAAGCTGTCACCTAATATCACTGAAAAGGAATTTTCTCTTAAATTTTCATAGCCATTCCATACTCCTGTCCTCAACACATCCCTGTTCTGCTGTGATCTCAAATTGGTCCTCCAGCTGGTCATGTCTGCTCTTCCCAGTCTTGTTTTGTTTTCTTTTCTTTAAAATAGCAGAAGCTACTGTATTCTGAACACTTAATCTTCAGCAGGTCCTAAGCTCAATGCTTTACATCTAGTCTTTCACTGAATTCTCCCAACAACCCTGTGTGGTGAGGATTGTCATTTACCAGATTCACAGAGGTAAAGCAATGAGGTCCAGTTTACACAGCCAGAAACCATGATGCTGAGACACAAATTAAGAGCTATACCTCCTCCCCTCATGTTTTCCCACTAGGGTCTAGCAGTTCCCACCCCTAAAGTCTTGATTTCTTTTCATGTGCCTAGTGTTCACAGACCACTCACAGTTACTATTGTGGCAGACTGAAGGCTAGCCTTCCATAATGGGTCCATCCTGTGCCCCTCAACCCAAGTGCAGCCTAATATCTTCCCACCTCTATCCATGCAAGTCGGGATACCTGCTGGGCTGTGATGCCACTGGCAATGGCCTGCTGCACACTCTCCCGGGTCACCTGTGCCACCACCATGTTGGGGAAGCGATAGAGCATCTCAGAGAAGAGGGCAATGAGGGCGATCTGCAGCTCTGATTCTGACCCATGCATAGAAGAGAGGATGACAAGGTTACCCCCCCCACCTAGACTTCCTCAAGCCCTTCCTTCAAGTGTGAGAAGGTCAGGGAGCTCTGTAGACCAAGTAAACATAAACTGGCATTCCCTCCAGCTTCCTTTCCCTCCCTACACCCACCCCAAGGGAGCCCTATATCCCAGCCTCACCTGTGTAGGCATACAACCGGTAATTGGTTTCCACGACAATGAAGCCTGGCTGATGCACAGTACCCCCAGCAGCCCCAGAGACACCAGATGAAAGGTTGATGGCCAGGCGTGTGGGGTAGTAACGCCGAGATTTCCTCTGGGAAGGGAAAAACAGAGGTCCTTACTCAGGAATCATTACCCTACATCTTCCTTGCTGGGACATGAGATCCTTCCCAGTGCATAGAATCTCAACTCTCAACTTCCTCTCCAAGTACTCAATTCTGACCAAATACTTCCCCCTACTGCTCAGGCCCCTCTTCCCTAGAAGCCATGTATCTGGGTGCTCTTACCTTCCTCTGGAAAACAAGCCCAAACTCACGCAGATGCTGCAGGAAGTTCAACAAAGAATCACTCATACCTTCCACAGAGTAATCCTGGAGAAGAGGTGGCTAGTGAGGTCCAAAACACATCCCATCTTCCTTCTTCTTCCCCCAACCCATCCCTCACATGCATTCCCTCTATCCCCTTCTCTGGTTATTTTGTATTCATACTTATCTTCTCACTCTGCTATCTTACAACCTGACTTCCCCTTCCCATCTCCCTGTCCTGTCCCCTACTTACCTTGCCTAGAGTAGAGAAGCTGAGCTGGAAGAGGAAAGACAGAATCTCCACCAGATCCATGCCCCGGCTCTAGAAAGAAGGGAATAGATAGAGAAGAGGAGAAATGGGAGGGGTAAAGGAGGAGAGGAGCAGGGAACAGTTAGGGAACAGTTTGAGGGTGGCTGTCAATGGGATTTGAGAAGATCAGGGATATTGGCAAGGGGATCTGACCTCCTTACCTGGGCTGTCTGCAGATACTGAAGCATAAAGTACCAGAGCTGGGCAGGGGTATCCAGCAACAGGAACTGGAAGCCAGCAGAAGTAATACAGGGTGGCTCTCCAGGTTCACTACTAGAAATGAAGAGGTAGGATGATGATCTGCAGAAAAAGGCTACCCTCCCCAAGTGTCCTCTCAGGCTTTTTCTGGCTATCTCTCACTGTACCCTACTCGTCATCTGCTTCTAATCCTGGGTGTCTAATCCCAGATACCCAGTTAATCCAAGACCCAAGGAAATGGCCAAGGAAGTGACTATTCTGCTTCAGGTTTCCTTACCTCTTCATGAGCCCAGCCTGGCTGAGGAGCTGAGCCAGGTCCTGGCTGACAGCTGCACTGGGGGAGCCCACCATGAAGTGCAAGACCACCTAGGAACGGATCAGAACAGGAAGACTGAGGCCTCTGCTAGCTGCAGGAAGTAGGAGCACAGCAGAGACATGCACAGACGCCTAAGTCCTCACCTCCCATCGCTCCTCGGCGTACTTGTCAAGTGAGGGAACATCCCGAGCGTGCTTGTCTGGTCCCAGCTGACTTGTGTCATCAGACCAGGCCTTCCCCCTGTGGCCAGGATGGGCCAGGAGTAAGGAGCTCTGTCTCTCCCCTGCTGGCCCCTGGCCCCTTCCTCCCTTATCCCACAGGCCCAAGAAAGGGACATTTCCTATATCCTAAAGCCACATCTGGTCCAACTCATCCCTGAAGGAGTTCCCCTTCCATTAGTGATATTAAGCAGTTCCTTTGGCCTAGCTTAGAAAAAGATGGGAACAACATACCCACCCAGAAGGGCAATTCGGAGGTTCTGGCGGAAGATTGGGTTCAGGATGAGGCCCTGGAGGCCACCAGGGAGCAGCTGGGTATGCCAGATACGGAGGCCACTCAGCAGCCCTGTACTTTCCTCCTGAGCCCTGGAACAGAAGAAGAGAGGTGAGTGGGTATCTAGAGAACAAAAAGAAGGAGACTATAGATGCCTCCATTTCTGCCTTTTCTTATAAACTAATATTGTGTCTCTTTAAGTATCTTTACTGCAGTGCCTAGCAAGCCTTGTTAAAGATGATCGCAACTCTCCAAAAGGAAAAAATATATATTTCCTGGAAGGAATAGAGTATAGGTCAGTGGTAGTTTATATTATGTTTAGCATATGCTAAATCTAGTCTAAATCTCCACTAACTAAAAATATATAATTATAATGTAAATGTGTTTCCTAGTATTCCAAAAAACAAGTTTGGGCAAGGTAAATGTTGAGGAATTTGTATCTGGCTGAGAATGGAGACTCACTTGCTGAATTCCTTCTTCACCCACAGGGCTACGGCAGCTTGCGGCAAAGGCTGCTCCAGAAAGAGCATCCGCATCACCCAGTTCTTAGCCAGAGACGGGAGCTCCCTGTAGGGGTTAAAGGCCAAATATCAGCAGCTGTGTTATACCTGCATCTCTACCTTCATCTATCTCTCAAAAATCTTACCTCTCCTCCCACTCCCCAGTATATCTTTACCAGTCTTGCTGCCCCCACAACCTCCATCTGTTTGGGGCCTTGCCGCCCCCATCCTAAGTAGACTGCTACACTCCTATCTATGGTAACTGATTGCAGTATGCATGCCCCCCATTATAATCCCTGCTATGAAGGAGGCTCCTTACCTAAACACAGCCAGACAAGTGGCAGGGTGCCCATACAATCGATCCAATACTCCAGGACTCAGGCCCCCTAAGAATTCCTGTAGATTCTTGCATTGTAGGTGCACCCGGTTCAGTCCACCCCTTGCAGGGGTGTTCTCCATCACCTGAGAGAGGTAAGTGTTAGAAGCACAACCCTACCCCTAAGATCCATGCCAGTTGAACAATAACCCCATATTTCCTGTGGTCTCCTCCCCCGTGCCATTCAGCACTTATTTCTTCCAAACTTCCCCTCTTTTCCTGCCTCTTCATCCCCTTTCTGCCCTAAACTCATCTTCTGGTGATGAGATCATCTTCCAAGTGATGAGATTATTACTGTTCCTACATTTTTGCAAAATCGTTTGTATTTCAATGACTTCTCATCTTTAGCTAAGCAGCGTCGAAGACAGTTGTTTGCGCCTAGTCCTCTCTCTCCCTGCACTCCCAAACTGTCAGTTCTTCACATATCCTAATTCTTAACCCACTTCTGAAAGATGTCGTAATAAGCCGTCTCTCTCTTCCATGCGTCCCAAATCTAAGTCTATCTCTATCTTTTCCCCTCGCCCCTCTCCCAGAGACCCAATTTCTGATCTAACTTCTCCCGGATTGCCGGTCTCCTACCCACGGTGGGATCCTTCACCACTCAGCGTCGATTCCCCCTCGCGCACACCCGATCTTCAGCCGTCGCTTAATCACAGCCAAGATCTCGCATTCGCTTCCAGAGATAAAGAGAAAAATGGTGAAACACACGAGAGAAAGACAAAAGAATGACGAAAGACTTCAAACAAGAGCCCAAAGTGAAGAAATCGGAAGGGCAGGAGTGAACGAATGGGAAGGATAAGAATAAGCACTGCACTCGTCTGTCGCGAGGCATACTGGGAATTGTAGTCCTTTTCATGCCTACTCCAGGGCAAGTTGGAGAGTGCCTGACTTCAACTCCCGAAAGGCACCGCGGGGAGGCACGGCCGAGAAGCCGCTGGATTTTAATTGAGAAGCCCGGGGAAACCAAAAGACAGGCCATTTCGTTCCGCAACTGTCTTGGGAAGACACTTGTGACGGCGTGTCTAACCCGCCTGGTCCAGAGGCCAGATGAAGAGTGGAAGGGACCTGCGGGCGCGTAGAGGCCCCTTAATAGTGAGTCTTTAGGTGAAGACGGCACAACTGGGTTTCTTGGGCTCACATGTCGCCTACACAAGTGGAATGATTCACGTTACACAGTCCTTTCACACGTTAAGGATCAACTTTTAATTGGGAAGCCCAGGAAACCAGCAAGCAGAACAGCCAGGAGCCAGGCCTGTAACCTAACAGAAGTTTTCTTTTCCGTGAAATGACAACCGTTTTAACTACTTCATATATTGTTTTGAGTATTAAATGTGATATATGCAAGAAACATAATACCTAGTGTATAGTATGTGCGCAGTAAAATTATCTTCAATTCTATTTCTGTAACTTTCACTTGTCAATCTTAGTTTGGGAGCTACACAGACTCTCTTTATGTTAACCTTTCAGATATTAGATTTTTTGTTATTGTTTTGGTTTTGCCGGTCCTAGAGCTTGAATTCAAGGACCTGGGCTGTGTCCCTGAGCCCCTCTGCTCAAGGCTAACGCTCTACCACTTGAGCAACAGGGATACGTCTGGCTTTTTCTGAGTAGTTCATTGGCAATAAGAGTCTCACAGACTTTCCTGCCTGAGCTGGATGTGAACTGCGATCCTCAGACCTCAACCTCTTTGAGTAGCTAGGATTACAGGCGTGAATACCAACGCCCAGCTTCTTCTTCTTCTTTTTGTTTTCAATTAATTAAGCTCCATATTCAGGGAATTTACCATTGTTCAGCCTATAGTCTAAGTGAGAGAAGAAGATGGAAAAAACAAATGCATGAATAAATGTAAAATATCACCTGTAAATGATACAAATAAGATATAATATATAATACAATAATACAAATAGATTTGTGTGTTCAGAGAGCATCAAAAAGGGACTTGTCCTTATGAGGGATGACTACTGAAGGGTAAGCAGCAATTAACAAGGAGAACACAGGGAAAATTGTTTCGAATAGGGAACAACTTGCTACAAAGGCCCAGTGGCAGGAAAGCCTTTAGCCATGGGAAAAACTGAAACAAGTTCAGTGGTGCAGACAGGAGAGAGTGCTAGAGAAAGTTGTGGAGACCAACATTAAACAAGATTTCTTTCTTTTCTTCTGTGTATGTGTGTTTGCCACAGTTCCAATTCCTATTTTTTGGTAGTTAATTGGAGATAATCTCACAGACTTTCCTGTCCCAGCTGGTTTTGAACCTCGATCATCAGATCTCAGCCTCTTGTGCTGAGATACCAGTGCTCAAGATACTTTCTTTCTTTCTTTCTTTCTTTGCCAGAACCAAGGCACGAACTAAAGGCCCATACTCTCACTTGCAGGTACTTTCACTTCAGCCATGCCTCCAGCCCAAAATTTTGTCCTTTAACCATTTATGGGGAGCCAGTCATGGTGGCATGTCTGTAATCCCTGCATTGAGTAGGCTCAAGCAAGAGGATTAAGAGCTGGCGGTCAACATGGGCTACATAGTGAGTTTGAAGTTAGCCTGTGCCACATAGGAAGAGCCTGTCTCAATAAACAAACAATCATTGTTGGTTTGGGGATGTAATTCAGTGGTAGAACACTTGCCTAGCATGTGCGAGGGCCTAGATTTGATCCTCATATCTGCCAAACAAACAAAAACATCAGCTGAGCATAATGACACAAGCCTATAATCCCAGTACTCAGGAAAGAGGCACAAGAAGCTCATTAGTTCAAAGTCAGCCTGGGTTATACAGCAAGTCTAAGGTCAGCCTGAGCTGACCTTAAGACAGTGAGACCTTGTATCTAATGATGATGATGATGATGATGATAATAATAATAATAATCAGTGAGATGTTATTAGAGGGATTGAAATAAAGGAGGGAAGTCAGATTTATGTGCATTGAAGGTCACCGTGCTTACAGGGCTGAAAAAGTGAGACAGGAACAGGAGTAGGTCCAGGTGATTAACGAGACTACAGTAGGCCGCAGGGTATGGCAATGTGTGCCAGTGAGGGCAATAGCAACAGAGAGAAATAGTGAGTCTTTGGGAGATTTGGGATGCAAAAAACCACCAAATGTTGTGCTGGATTTGACCTGGCAGGTGAGGGTCAGGTGATCACTTGTGTTGCTAGGAGCACGATGCTGTCACTCAAAGATGACACAATAAAGAGGGGCAGGGTTGAGCATGCTGAAGTTTGCTGAATCCTTGGGTTTGCATTTAGGCCTGTTTTAAAAGTCTGTTCTCAGAGATTTTGGCATTAACAGCTCATTGCAGTGGCTTCCATTTGCTTATTATTCTGGCTCTGGCCTATGAACTCTTAACTCATCAGTGTGTGTCTTTATGATGGCTCACTGTGATCAGTAACCTATTAGATACGTGACCTGACCTCAAGAGTCTATTAAGTCAACTTCAGATGAAATTATCCTTATTGTTATTCTCATTATCCATTTGGCTCATTTTGTAAAATATCACCAGCCAAAACCTCCCAAGGGACTGTTTTCCACCTAAACTGCCATTAAGACAGGTCTGCCTGGCCTAATACCTGCAACTGATTTTTTTTCTTCTTCCCAATCTAGTTCAAACTTGTTAAATGCTTTCTTAGCAGTGACTCATCCTTGCATGCTTGCTGGGACTAATCCAAGGGTCTCCACCTGGGCCTCCCAGGCCCAAAGGGACTTCTAGAATTTAAGCAATATAAAGGAATTACAGGGCTAGGAGCCAGTGGTTCAGGCCTGTAATCCAAGCTAAGTAGAAGGCTAAGATATGAGGATCATGGTTCAAAACCAGCCCAGGAAGAAAAGCCAATGAGATTGTTATCTCCAGTTGTTAATCCTTCATATTTTCTGTGTTTTAAAACATAATTCTGAGTAGTAAACAGATTTCACCAGACCCCTAAGGGTCAGACACACCCTTGGAATCCCCGAGCTGAGGAGTTCCCTTCAGAGCTCCTGCAGAGCCCCTGGGTGCAAGTAAGTTCCCTGAGTCCTGATGACTCATTATCACAAAGGGCCTGGATCATAGGCAAATAGACCACTGTGCTGGACAGTTAAAGTGTAGGACTGAAGACAGGGAGGAAAAAGAAAAGGAAGAAAGGAAATGGGTTGGGAGAGAAGTAGAGAAGGCAGATTTTACCAAACCCCAAGAAACTCACAACTGTGGAAAACTCAACCTTTATTATTACCTGCCTAGTGCAGGGGATTAAAATTGCCTCAAGCTAGGTCCATATATTAGTGTAAAAATCTGTCTCTTCCCCCCCAAAAATGTACAAACCCCAGGTGATTATAGAAAAAAACCAATGTGGTAGCTACAATAGAGAAGTCCAACCCCCAGGCCACAGCCCCTTGCTCTCTCGTCTCCCCTAATCCCCAGTATTAACTCCACAGAAACATACAGGCTTAGAGAAGGCCTAGCTACAGCATGGCAGGTGGGAAGAAGGGACGAGGATCAGGGCAGGGGCCACCCCGCCCCTCTTCCAGGTCCAGTGTCTGAGGGGACATTGGAGGAGGAGAAGGAGGCCAACGCTGAGAACAATTCCAGGGGTAGGCCCTTTTTTGTCTTCCTCACCCCTCAAGTTCTCAGCCAGCAGAGTCCAGTGTGTGACAGGAAGAGAGAAGCTGGGGGTACAGCCACCTCCCCCTAGGAACCAGTGTTATCCAGTGAGGCCCAGGTGCTCCAGTGAGCCAGGTCCAGTGTCTGCCCTGCATTGCCCCACCTTTTCCCAAAGGATGGCTGGTAGAAGTCAGAGACGGTCCCATCCGCAGGGCCAGCTGGGTGGGCGGCAGGGGCAGAGGAGAAGAGGGACGGGAAAGGGAAGTGAGTGCCAGGTCCGGTGAAAGCTCCCTGGGTAGGCCCAGCCCACCCGCAGTCATGCTGCCTCTCGGGGAGATGGGCAGTCAGGAAAGGGGGTGGGTGGGGTGGGCATAGGCTTCTCTTGTTTTCGTGTCACGGCTTCCCAAGGGTGGGTCAGCAGGATGGCATGATTCACACTGTGTTGAGTGCATCTTCTGCCAGAAACCGATGTAGCTGGGAAAAGGGTGGCCGCTGCTCAGGTTCCCGGCTCCAGCACTGAAGCATCAGCTCATACAGGCCCTGCGGGCAGGCAGGTGGCCGGGACAGGTACACCTGCAGCAAGTAGCATGGCGCAGAGAGAGCAACAGGTGTCCTTTAGTCTCCACACCCCCACGCTCCACCCCTCACACCCCCCACCCCACCTCCCCCCTGCCTCTGCTCTGACCTGCCGGCCCTGGTCCCGGAAGAACTCCCCTGCATTCTCGATGACTTGTTCGTCGGTGAGTTGCCCAAAGGGCTGGGCCCTGCAGAGCATCAGCACCTCCCACAGAGTTACCCCAAAGGCCCACACATCACTCGCCGTGGTGAACTTGCCCTGGCACATAGAGAAGGCAGAGAAGGACCTCAGGCAATGAAGCTGTAGGGAAGCCCCACACCCACCCAGCCTGACTCCTTCTCCCCCTTGGCTTCCACTCTCCTTAGATGGCCTACCTTACCATACAGGCCTCTCCGTCCTCCCTGCCCCCTTTCCTTCTCCTCCTCCCCATCTTTCCTTTCCACTTGCCCTCCATTTTCTAGTCCTGATTCTCTGTTTTCCCCCAGCCCTACCTCCAGCTTCCTCTCTCCTCTTCCCTGACACCCTGTCCCCATTCTTGGCTCCTGGGCCCTTTCCCCATCACAAGATCTCTCTTTCTTGGGTCTCTTGTGCCAGAGGGATCCCCGTTTTACAGACAAGGAGACAGCAGCCAGAGAAGGCAGGTGACTAGCGAAGCCACAACGCTGAGTGGCTGCTGCTGCTGTCCTCTACAGTTCTGCCTCTGCCTGCCTCTCCTCCAACTACTCACCATGAGAATGCACTCCCACGCCATCCACCGGATGGGTAGCACCGCCCGGCCCTGCACTCGGTAATAATCTCCAGCATAGAGGTTCCGGCTCATGCCAAAGTCGGCAATTTTGATAGTGAAATTTTCCCCAACCAAGCAGTTCCGAGTGGCAAGGTCTCGATGGACAAAGTTGAGTGTGGCCAGATAGCGCATGCCTGAGGCAATCTGGGCTGCCACATGCAGTAACATCGGGTAGCTGGTGAGGGAGCCAAGGACAGATGGTTACCAGGATTCAGACCCAGAGAACTCCCAACTCCACACATTCCTGTGCAGGAAAGGAAGCAGACCCCAGGCTTCTGGTGTGAAGAAGTTTTAATGCCCACCTGAGGCCAGGGGCAAGATCCCACTCAACCCCCATCTGGGCCACCCAGCCATAAGGCTCTGAGGTTAGGCTGCCACATCTAGGCTCAGGTGATAAGGGTACGGGAGGGCGGCTGTGATTCACAGCAGTGTTCAAGTCCCTCCCTCCCCTCCACTGAGCCATCTCAGTCTGTGTGGCCAAGTTCTAGAATTACCATATTCCCTGGTCCCTATCCCAGATCCCTCCCGGGACTTCTATCTGCCTCCTGACCTCATGCTCTCTTTTTCCTCCAGTCTGGAGTAAAGGGAGAGAGGGTAGCTCTCCAGGAAAACCTTCCTGCACAAGTCGGTACCTGATGGTGGGTCCTTGGGTAGCCTCCCCATCCCCAGGGGCCTCCTCGGCTATCTTGTCCTCCAACTGGTGGGCGCTGAGGAACTGGTTCAGGTCTCCATTCTCCATGTAATCGGTGATCATGCACAGAGGGTCGTCCTGCACACACACACCCAGGAGCCGAATGATGTTGGGGTCCTTCAGCCTTGACATGATCTTCACTTCCTTCAAGAAATCATTCCTGGAGAAGCAGGGAGAAGGTGAGGGAAATGCTGAGGGAGCAGCCATGCCTTTCCTCCTGCTCACATAACCCCAGCACATGCCCCAAATACCAGCCCTCTGCTGGGCACTGTCACAGTTCTCTCTGCCTTGATGCCCAGGCTTCAAGGCCTCCCTTCCAGATGTCCTCACCTCGCATTCTTGGTGGCATCTGGCCGTAAGATCTTGACAGCTACCAGCAAGGGCTGCCCCTTGCGCACACTGATGGGAAAGTCAAGACTGACCAGGTCTTGAGGATTCTCTACCTCACAGAGGTGCACCTGGAGGATGAAAGCCACAAGGTTCATCCAGATCACTGGGTCCAATAGACTAACATGACCCGATGGCCGAGAGACCAGGGGACATGCAGGCGTGGTGGCAGTTGGGTCAGGTGCTATTGGTGGCCAGATGTCTTTCTTACCTCTCCAAATTGGCCCTCGCCAAGCTTCTCCTTGAACCGGAGCCTCGATCGAGGGAAATCCACTCTAGGGGGCCCATCCCCCACTGCCCCTGGGGGTAGTGCAGGCACAGCATAGGTGTTGCCCCCAGTGACGCCCTGCAGGGTGACAATGTCAGCCTCGGCATAATGGGGGACACTGTTCTGGGGAGGTGGGGGCAGAAGCGGGGCACCTGGCTTCTCAGGCTCCATGTAGTCCCCATTGCAGGCTGGAGAGGTGAGGGGGAAAAAGATAGGACAAGGGATCAAGTACGGCACCTGACAGCCACAATTCACCATACCACAGCCTCTCTGAGGACCTGTGTCTCGCAGTTAAGGGAGATATCAGGTCCATCCTGAATCTTCTCTGGTGCTCTAGCCACTAGCCTTGAACCAGATGCAAGTTAACTACTCCAGAGAAAGTTTAATTCTTACTGTCATCAGTTCTTACTGTGTGAGGATCTCCCAACACAGACCAAGAGACCATAAGGAAGTCTGGGTTGGCAGAGGAATTCCTCTACCCACCACTGGAAGCATGGTCCTACCTAGCCAATCTCCTCCATTTCCTAACCCCTTGCCCCTCTCACCACCAGCTCCTTCTACTCCCTTTATCTGCTCTCTGGATGAAAGAGGAGCCCCTGGCCCCTCCCTGCCATGGTTCCCCAACGCTCCCAACCCAACACACCAAGCTCAAAGACAAAGACAAGGGCACACAGAGAAGGGAGAGGGCAACAGTTCTCCACAGCCCCACAATAAGGCATCCATAGACAGGAAGGAATCAGAGCGGTTCCCTCTTGGCCCTGGGGAAGAGGCCACAATGAGAAGGGGACATGGAGGGGAGGAGGAGAAGACAGGAGGGGCAGGGCATGAGCCTTCACCTCTGGGACTGCAGAGAAAGGACACATGGGGGAGAGGGCAAGCGCCCAGGGGGAGGCCCTCCTCCTCGCAGCTCTAGAGAGAGGGGAGAATAAAGGGGTTATGAGATAGCCTAGGACACCACAGCCCTGGAGAGCTGGGGAGGCAGATAGGAGAGGAGGAGGGGACAGCGCTGAGACCAATAGCCTTCTACTTCTAGGTTCAAAGGGGAGGCCATCAAAAGGAGCAAGGAGCAGCAAAGCTGAGCTACAGGGACGAAAGCTGCCAGCTGGAGCGCTCAGGAGAGCAGGAGAGGCCACAGTGGGGAAGAGGAGTGCAAGGTGTGAGGGCTTTTCCCTGCCCCAGTTAAGGTATGGGGAGCCTGGTGGAGCCCAGGGGCAGAGGGGCTTACCCTGGGTGTTGGTGGGTTTGGCCCAGGCGGGTGTGGGGGGGCCCGGGCCTCGAGGGGGACGGGCGTAAGTGGCCAGAAGGAGGCGGTAGGCCGGATTGGAGAGCAGCAACGCTGTCGGGAGAAGGAGGGGGAGACACGGGGAAGGGGTGAGACTCAAGGCTAGACAGACAGGGAGACCTGGAATAGAGCAAGACTAGGGTTCACTGGGATGAATATCCTAAGAGACAGAACAGAATAAAACAATGACCTGGAGAGTGATGAATAGCTGAATGGACAGTGGACGGATGCATGCCTGGGGAGATGGACGCATGGATGGATGGCAGCTGGACAAGGAGATGATGATGGATGATAAGCAGATGATTGAGTGAATGGATGATGGAGGGACAAATGGATATATGACTATAATAGATGGATAGGTGGTTGGATGCATGGATGGACGCAGATAAATGGATGAATATACATGAGTGGATGTATAAATATAGATAAATGGATGGGTAGATGAATTGATACAAGGAACAAATATGAGTGTAGGAAAAAATAAGAGAGGCTAGGCACATACAATGCAAAGACACAACGAAGAAGATGGAAAAACTTGTATGTGACACAGACGGATGAGACCGGTGGGAATTATAGACAATAGGAAGGGAATTTTGAGATAGCTTGTATGCAAAGAAAGGTGACTAGGGTTATAGAAGTAAGAAAATGGTATAGACAGGAAAAGAAGAGAAGAGGAAAGGAGGAAAGAAGAAAAATAGAACAGAGGTGGCACTGAATTAAAGCAGTCCTTACCAGAGCTATTGGGAACACAGGGAGCAGAGTGGGGTGGATTTCCACGAGGCCGGGGTTCCTGGTAAGGCGGTGGCTCTCGAGGACCTGGGCGATTGTTGATGAGGATGGTATCCCCAGGAACAGACAGGTGAACTGTCAACTCTTCTTCCAATACCCGACGTTCGGCCTTGATATTGGAAATAGGCCATGTTAAGTGAGGCCACTGCATAGCACACACTTCCTGGTGCTTTGTAAGCATAGCACCTGAGTTATCTCTTTAGTTCCCAGCAAAAACCTCTGGTTGGGCTCCTGCAGGCTCCATTTTACTTTCAGGCATAGGATCAAACTTAAACTGAGGACCAGTGGCTCATGTTTGTAAATCCTAGCTACTTAAGAACCTGAGATCTGAGGACTGCAGTTCAAAGCCAGTCCAGTCAAGGAAAAGTCTGTGAGATTCTTATCTCCAATTAACCAGCAAAAAAGACAGAAGTGAAACTTTGGCTCTAGGACTAGAGAACTAGCCTTAAATGAAAAGGCTCAAGGACCTAGGCCCTGAGTTCAAGTCCCAGAACCAGCAGGCATACACACACACACACACACACACACACAACCAGCACACACACACACAACCAGCACACACACACACACACACACACACAAAACCAACCAACACACACACACACACACACACACACACACACACACACTGAAGAGCATTTTAACTAACTTCCCTGATGGGATTCCAACCCAAATCTGAGCAGCCTCTAATTGTCACCCCTACTGCACTAAGTTACAAGTAAACAAGGGCTTGGGGAGCTCACACATCCATTTGCCCCTCTCACTCTTACTTTCTACCCGCTTCTGTCTGAATAAGCTGATTGGGGTTGGCCAGAGAACCCTAGGAGCAGTTAGTGAGGTCAGAAGCAGTTTGCAGCCTATACCAGAGTTCACTGTCCCTCTCAAGCGGCTCACTCTAGACTCCTTCCAGCCCTGGTAACTGCAGCCTCCCCTTATCCCAATAGGGCCAAGTAGGGGACTGACCCATTCCTGTGAGTCCCAAACTTTCTGTTCACATTCTTCACAGTGGTCTCTATGTCAGATCATGCTTCCAACTCTGCCAACATGCTGACTGATGCAGCCCCCTCTCCACACCCCTCCTGCGCTCCACACACCTTGCTAAGGAGCCTGCGCCAGTGCAGCCGCCACAGCATGAGAGCAATGATGAGGAGCAACAGCAGGATAATGGCCACCAGGCAGCCGATGAGGATGGCAGTCGGACTCCCCTCTGCCTTGGCCACAGGCTGCTGGCCCCGGGGCTCTAGCTCTGGCAGAAGAGAGGAGTCAGTACCACAGGAGGATTCCAATCCCACCCAAGGGGAGGCCAGGGAGGACGTGGGAGAGGCTGCTCACCAATGCTACTGAAGTTGGTGGGAGGTGGGCCAGGTGGCCACCAGGGAGCCGGCGGGAAGGTGCCCCCCAGAACTGGAGAGGAGTCATTCACCACATCTGGGGAGAAGGAAAAGGAAGAGAGGAGGGAGTCAGAGGAAGAGACTCATAGAAGCATGCGTGTGCTTGAGATCTAGGGAGTGGAGGAGGAGGGGTGACACTCAATATTGGCAACCACTGACCAGTCAGGCACCAACTAGTCAGAGCAAGCGGTGGGAAGTCCCTGGCTGTGGGCAATTGGAGGGCTTCAGGACAGAGCCCAGGGTAGGAGTGCTGGCTATCAGAAGGCTTAGAGAAAAGCTGACTTCTCCACTGAGCCTTCCACTATTAACAATCAGTACTGGGTAAGGGTCAGTCACAAACAAAGAGCTCCTAAAGACAGAACAAGCTGGGCACTGGTGGCTCATGCTGATAATCCTAGCTAGTCAGGAGGCTGAGATCTGAGGATCACAGTTCAAAGTCAGCCTGGGCAGGAAAATCTGTGAGATTCTTAATCTCCAATTAACCACAAGAAGTGGCACTGTGGCTCAAAGTGATAGAGTGCTCAGGGACACAGCAACTAAGCCCTGCGTTCAAGACCCACGACAAAAAAAAAAAAAAAAAAAGGGAGAGAGAGAGAGAGGAAACAAGAAGAAAAAGGGCTCTGATTATTCTGCTCCTGGCTGAGAAGTCTTATAGCTGATAGGTAAGAATGATGCCAGGAATAGTATTCTACGGCACCTCAGGGTCAATGCTTAAACTGGTTGGCAACACTGGGGGCTGACTCCAGAGACTTACCAGAGATGAAGGAGATTTCACTGAAGAGCAGCCAAGGCCCCGCAAAGAGGAAGCGGCATTGCAGGAAGCGACCCACACGGCCGCCCAGAGGTACTGAGATAGCCCGGGCTCGGGGGTCCCCTAGGCTGCCCCCCAGGGCATGGCGCATGGGTTCCCCCTCCCAGGCCATAGCAGGGCTTCGCTTGAATCGACATTCCACCCCGCCTGGCAGGCGAGCTCCCAGTGTGTGCATATTGTTACAGTGGACCTAGGGAGACAGGGGGAAGACAGAGGGTCAAGGCCAGGAGCGCCCCCAAAGAACCCTGGTAGCACCTTACCCTGGCACTAGGACCATCTCTGAGGGCTGCGCTCACCTGCATGGCCTGGAAGACCCTCAGTTGGTCAAACTCAAACTCCATCTCCACATAGCCACTGGGGAAACTGTGGTTGCTCCATCCCACATAGTCATAGCCTGGCCAGACTCTCAGCTCCTGGCTCTGCCGAAAGTCATCCAGCCCCACCACACCATCTGCTAGCTGGCCCAGACCACCATACTGCAGCCTGGAGAGGAGGGGACCAAGAAGAGGAAATGGAGGTTGAAAGAGAAGGTATTAACTGTCCAGATGCACTGGACATCTCCCTTCAATAATCTGGCTGGCCTATTTCCTGTCTACTTGTTCCTCAACCCATCCCAACCCCATTAGTTCCCTTTTCTCTTTCTTTTCTTTTCCCCCCAGTCCTGGGGCTTGAACTCAGGGCTTGGGCACTGTCCCTGAGCTTCTTTTGTGCAAGGCTAGCACTCTACCACTTAAGCCACAGTGCCACTTATGTGATACTGAGGAAATAAACCCAGGGCTTCATGCATGCAGGGCAAGCACTTTACCACTCATCCACATTCGCAGCTCCTTTTCTTTCTGTTCTCTATACTACCTCTAGGACCATCACAGGTACTTTGCAGGCCACATGCTGCACACCTTTAAGGCACACTATTTAATCTATGCTGTGCCAATTTCCAACAGCCAGGGGGTGCCTCTAATTCACTCAAAGCATTCTCTGGAGATAGCAGTCCTGTGGATTACTGCCACTTTATTCTTGACCATGCCCCCTAAGGCTCCACCTCCTGATCCCTCACCCTAATTCCTCCATTTCACGGCCAAGACTACTCATCTAGACACCACCCTCCAACCTCCCGCACACACTCTGGCCTCCCTCCCAGGCGCCATGTCCTCCCCAGCCTCTTTCCTCTCACCCGCCCACGGTGTATCCATCGTAGGTGGAGTCATTGAGGTACACAGCCTCAGATAAGTACATAGTCTGCCCCACAGGGGCTGTGTAAGACAGGAGTCCATCTGTCAGGGAAGGAAGAGGAGAGTTAGAGACAGGAGCTTTTACTCCCTACTCTCGTCCTGGGCCTGGGTAGATTTCAGCCCCGTTCTTGTGTCCCTTCACTGGCCTATAGGCATGGGAGAAGAAACGACACTGTCAGTCCCTTCCTCAGGAAAGGGTACTGGACGACCCTCTTCATATTCCCCAAGCCCTAGAACCAAAATGGATTCTTAAGAGAACATCACTACTCACCCCTCCAGAGGCAGCCATAGAGCTCCACCCGCAGACAGACACTCATGACTCGGTCAGCCCGGGGATAGAAGCGAACCAGTCGGGCCACCATGGGGGGCCCGAGGTCCTTCAGCACCACTCCCCCGGGGTCCTCATTCCCTGAGATCACCTGGGGGCCAAGAAACAGGGCAGATGAGTGGGGAGGGCCTCAGACCCTAGCTAAGTCATAGTTAACTTCAAACTGGTCCACAAAGTTTGTTCAGCCTACTAAAAGGGAATACTGAGCACACAGCACTGTGGGAATTTATACAGCCAGGCATTTATAAAATAAGGGTCTGCAGCAGCAACCTGAAGTGTTTCTTAGAGCCTTTGGTCTGTCCTCAAACTGTAGTTTCAGGTCCCCCTCTCTCTACCTGCCTGTATCCATGTGTCTCCAAGTCACTCCTGCCATTATGGCTGGATCCAGTCTAGACCCTTAAAGCCCTGAACCCCACTTCATCTCCCACCTCTTGCTCTACCCCATTCCCTCTGTCCATTCAGCTAAAGTTGGCTGACTGCCTACTCCGTGCCTGGCACATTCTCAATGGTGAACATCAGTCTCTCCCCTCAGAGGCCTAGGACTCCAGTAGGAGAAACAGCTGTGAGGAACAAGAGGCCGAGTTGTGAGGACAATGAGGTAGATGGTCAGAAAAGGCTCTGTGAGAGGTGACATCTCGGGGGAGAACTGAATTGGAGCCAGGGAGTGCCTGTGGGTTCCTAGAGGAGGAGCTTACCAATCACACAGAACAGCATTGGAGAATGTTCTGACTGCAGAAAGCAGCCCTGGTTTGTTCCAGGCACAGCACGAAAGGCAGTGTGGCCAAAGGAGAGCCAGAAGCCAGGCCGGGCTAAGTGTTCTCACCCAGCCAAGGAGCTCTAGCTTTGTTTTGGTAGAGTCAAGTGCCAATGGAGAACTAGAAGCTGGATGTGACACCTCTGACTAGCATTTTCTTCTTTTTCTTTTTCTTTCTTTTTTTTTTTTTTTTTGCCTGTCCTGGAGCTTAAACTCTGGGCCTGGGCACTGTTTCTGAGCTTCTTCTTTTTTAGTCTCTTTCTCTCAAGGCCAGAATTCTACCACCAGAGCCATAGCGCCACTTTCGGCCTTTTCAGAATATTGGAGATGAGGCTCACAAACTTTTTTGTTGTTGGTGGTGGTAGTCATGGGGCCTGAACTCTGGGTCTGGGCTGTCCCTCAGCTCTTCAGCTCAAGGCTAGTGCTCTACACTTGAGCCACAGCACCACTTGCAGCTTTTTCTGCTTATGTGGTGCTGAGGAATCAAACCCAGGGCCTCATGCTTGCAAGGCAAGTACTCTACCACTGAGCCACCTTCCCAGCCCAGAATCTCACAGACTTTCCTGTCCAGGCTGACTTGGAACCATTCAACCTTCTGAGTAGCTAAGATCATAATCTTAAACTACCAGAACCTAGCTCGGACTGGCATTTTCTAAGGACCACTACATATAGCCTAAGGTCAAGATCTAACATCAAGCAGAAAGGTTTGGAGACTACTCCTTTCATCTAAGCTGGGAAGGGATGGACACTTGGCCTAAGGCTGTAGAATGGGGTGGGAAGAAGTGAGATTCAGGAAATGCTATGGAGAAAGACTGGCACTGCTGATGCTTTGGAAGAGGAAGGAAAAGAAAGGAAAAAAAAGTCAGGATATCACCTTAGCTCAGAAGCTGAGCTACTAGGCAACGGGAGCATAACACTTTATGAGCTGAGGATGCTGGGAAGAGGGAAGGTTGGGAACTAAGGTCAATGGTGAGTATGAGATACTCACTAAACACCAAGGTCCAGGAGGGGGTTCAGGTTTGCAACACTGGGTGGCATTAGGAGGAGCAGACCTACTCTAGAGCTATCCTGGAGCTGGAGCTGCTATAACTGGAAGGTCAACCAGAATATAAGTGCTGTTTAAAGTATGGCTAGCTACTCAGGAGGCTGAGAGCTGAGGATTGCAGTTCAAAGGCAGCCCTGGCAGGAAAGCCCATGAGACTCTTATCTCCAATTAACCACCAGAAAACAGGAAGCGGTGCTGTAGCTCAAGTGGTAGAGCACTTGCCTTGAGCTGAAGAGCTCAGGGACAGCACCCAGGCCCAGAGTTCAAGCCATACAACAGACCAAAAACATTAAAAAATAAAAATATGATTGGGCATTGCCACTACTAGCCTCACCTCCTGACCCCAACGGTCCTTCCAGTCCATCCAGCGGTAGCCATCCCGGGAGTAACGCAGCCGGTAGCTACGGGAGAACTCCTTGCCCAGACCTCCAGCATGGCGGCCCTGGGTGCCCACCAAGGCAACCAAGTGTAGTCGCCGTAGATCCACCTGCAGGTACTCCTCCTCCTTGGGAAACACAGGCCCTGCCGGGCACCATGCCCCATCTCCATCACTGCTCTCCAGCCTGGTAGGAGAAAGGAGGTTACAGGACATTTGGTCCCAGATCTGCCTCTGCATCTCATATTTAAAACCTTCCACCCCTACCTCCACCACCAGACTGCTGGAGTTTCATCTACATGGGTATTCTCAGAAGCCTCTGGGCTTGGGCAAAGGGGCTGGAAAAGCAAGCAGAGACCTGAGGGCACCCTCCAGGGTAGTCACAGGTATGTATGCCAGGTACCTGCTGTGTCGGGCAGCCGTGGAATCTGACCAGGAGCTGGAGACAGAGATGTCACTGTCAGGAATGGTCCGGTCCTGCATGCCCAGGGCATAGCGGCACTTGGCTGGATGAACATAGGCATAATGGGTCAACGTCCCCAACTCTTTGACATCCCCGCCCCTCAAGCTCTATCCCTTAGGGATAGAAGATTCAGTGTCCTCACCAGGGTCAAAATGTCCCTTCATGTCAGCATCTCCAGTTGCCACCAAGAGCAGCAGCAACAGTAGAAATGAGAGGGCCCTTGGCCCCATAGCTCCTGATCCCTCAGGCCTAAGGAGGTAGGGGTCGCATCTCTGCAGGGGACAAAATGAGTAGGAGGGTAAATGAATTGGACACTGAGTCACAGTGACAGCAATAGATAGGATGGCTACTTTGGGGATAACAACAGTAAATTGTCAAAGATGGCCATTGTTTAACATCATCAGCTCTATGTTTAGACTTTTTCATGTGCCAGACACCAGGCTAAACCCATAAACAGAATCTATAATTTTATCTTCAAAGGCCACATTATAGGGTAGATTCTGTTACTGTCCACATTGCATAGGTGAAGAAACTGAGGTAGAGATCCACTTAAAGATGCCAAAAGATCTGTTCCCCTACTCAGTAAAAGATGACAAAATACCCCCACGAACAACGGCTTCAAACAAAGAACTTGCAAATGAAAGTGGACAACACATATAAAAGGGGAAAAGGATAATAGTTACAATAATAAACTAAGTATGTTTACAAATTGAAATAAGAAAACATATATATAAACAATCTAACAGAGAAACGGCCAAAGAATGTAGTCATTTCATGGAAAAGCACAGTTTAACTGCCAACAAACTTTTTTCTTTTTAACTGTCAAAACTAGGGGTCAGTGGCTCACACCTATAATCCTAAACTACTCAGGAGGCTCAAATCTGAGGATCACTATTTGAACCTAAGTCTAAGTCCTCGAGACTCTTTTTTTTTTTTTTTGCCGGTCGTGGGGCTTGAACTCTGGGTCTGGCGCTGTCCCTGCGCTCTTTAGTTCAAGGCAAGCACTCTACCGCTTGAGCCACAGTGCCACTTCTAGTTTCTAGTGGTTTATTGGCGATAAGAGTCTCATGGACTTTCCTGCCTTGGCTGGCTTTGAACCTGGATCCTCAGATCTAAGCCTCCTAAGTAGCTAAGATTACAGGCCCTCCTGAGTAGCTAAGATTACAGGCGTGAGCCACTGGCACCTGGCTCCTCGAGACTCTTATCTCCAATTAATTACCAAAAAGGCCAAAAGTAAAACTGTGACTCAAGTGGTAGAGCACTAGTCTTAAGCACAGGGACAGAGCCCAGGCCCTGAATTCAAGCCCTAGGATCAGCACCAAAAAAGAAAGAGAGAGAGAGAGAGAAAGAGAAAGAGAGAGAGAGAGAGTCAAAGAAATAGATATAACTCATTCAGGCACTGATGGCTCATGCTTGTACTCCTAGCTACTTAAGCAGGCTGAGATTTGAGGATCATGGTTCAAAGCTAGCCCAGGCTTTCTGGGAGACTGACACACTCCCCCCCCCCCCCCGCTCTTCTCTTCTCTCTCTGTCCTCTCACTCTTCTCTCTCTGTGCTCTCTCTTCTTGCTCCTCACCCCCCCCTTTCCCTCTCCCTCTCTTTTCAGGTGGTCCTGAGGCTTGAACTCTGGCCTGGGGTACTGTCCCTGAGCTCCTTTTGCTCAAGCCTAGCACTTTACCACTAGAGCTACATCACTACTTCAGGCTTTTTCTGTGATTTAATTGGAGATAAGTCTCACAGAGTTTCTCCTGCCCAGGCTGGCTTTGAACCAAGATCCTCAGTTCTCAGCCTCCTGAGTAGCTAGGATTACAGGTGTGAGCCACCAACACCTAGCTATCCTCAACACTCTTATCTCCAATTAATCACCAAAAGAACCAGAATTAGAGCTGTGGCTAAAGAGTCTAGCCTTGAGCAAAAAAGCTCAGGAACAAATGCCAGGCCTTGAGTTCAAGCCCCAGGACTAGCATACAGAAAATGCAACTCAGATTGACAATTTTTTTTCTTTTTGGGTCCGGTCATGGGGCCTGAACTCTGGGCCTGGGTGCTGTCCCTCAGCTCTTCAGCTCAAGACTAGCTCTCTACCACTTGAGCCACAGCGCCACTTCCAGCTTTTTCTTTTTTTTTGCTTATGTGGTACTGAGGAATCGAACCCAGGGCCTTATGCATGCAAGGCAAGCACTCTACCACTGAGCCATCTTCCCAGCCCCTGATGAATATTTTTTAAGGTTACGACTTCTATGAATGGTAGAGACAGATGAAAAAGGAGCCACGTCTCTTTTTGATAGCAATGTAGTATTCTGTATTTGAAAAGCAACCTAGCAGTATAATAATTCTTTTTTAAAAAATATTCATAGATTTCTATGCAGCTATGGAAAGTAACAAAGTAACAATCTCCAACTTAGTGTGATTTCCTGATGTCTCTGTTGAATATGAAAAGCAAGACTCAGAAGGATTAAAAACATGCATTCCACCTTCTGAAAGCAAAGAATAAACAAACCCGTTTGTACACATACTTGTAAGCATGTCTAGAATACTTGCATTAGAACATGAGTTAACAAAAGGAAAAGACAGGCTGACCGTACTGTTTTGGTAAAACATGTAATACTAATGTCATGTAAAATGTCATCTATAAATAAATACAAAAATCATTTTAGTTTTTTTCTTTTTGTCCAAGACTGGGACTTAAACTCACTATCTGGTGGTTACTTTTGCTCATTAGCTAGCGCTCTACCTCCTAATCCACGCCTCCAACACTCATTTTTAGTTGTTGTTTTTTTTTTGTCGGTCATGGGGCTTGAACTCTGGGCCTGGGCGCTGTCCCTCAGCTCTTCAGCTCAAGCCGAGTGCTCTACCACTTGAGCTACAGCGCCACTTTCGGTTTTCTGGTGGTTTATTGGAGATAGGAGTCTCACGGTCTTTCCTGCCCAGGCTGGCTTTGAACCGGGATCCTCAGATCTCAGCCTCCTGAGTAGCTAGGATTACAGGCGTGAGCCACCAGCGCCCGGCTCATTTTTAGTTTTTTTATTATTTTATTTTATTTTATTTTGTCAGTTGTGGGGCCTAATCTCTGGGCCTGGGTGCTGTCCCTCAGCTCTTCAGCTCAAGGTTAGTGCTGTACCACTTAAGCCACAGCACCACTTCTAGCTTTTTCTGCTTATGTGATGCTGAGGAATTGAACCCAGGGCCTCATGCATGCAAGGCAAGCACTCTACCACTGAGCCAACTTCCCAGCCCCCATTTTTAGTTTTTAAAAAGTAAAAATATCAAGCCGGGCGCTGGTGGCTCACGCCTGTAATCCTAGCTACTCAGGAGGCTGAGATCTGAGGATTGCGGTTCAAAGCCAACCCGGGCAGGAGAGACCATGAGACTCCTATCTCCAATAAACCACCAGAAAACCGGAAGTGGCGCTGTAGCTCAAGTGGTAGAGGGCTCGCCTTGAGCTGAAGAGCTGAGGGACAGCGCCCAGGCCCAGAGTTCAAGCCCCACGACCGACAAAAAAAAAAAAAAAAGTAAAAATATCTTAAGTATCAGCTAAACCTGAATTGATTGGCCCTCCAACTTCCAAGCCTGGAAATTCAGAGAAGCGTGGCTTCCAGTCTTCCAATCCCACCACCCTCTAAGTCCCATAGGCCCAATGTGGTTCCTAAACCAGTAGCTTTGACAAATGCAGAACCCTGGGCCCATCCAGACCTGCTGAATCTGAATCTGCATTTTAACACCATCCAGGTGATCTGTGTCCACTTAAGTTTGAAAATCCCTACACTGTTTCTTCTGGTGTCCCAGAAGCCTACCCCATCCCAGATCAGCCCAACTGTCACCTTATAAACCCAGGAATCTAGCTGTCCCCACACCCTTGCTACAAGAAAACCGTTCTAACCCATGCCAGTGCCTGAGTTCTCAAGGCTCTGAAGTCCTGAGGAACCACCCCTGCCATCAGGTCCAAAGCATCCTTTGGCCTGCACTCCTTGCTCTGCCCCTGACATCCTATCCCCCCCAGTTCCTATTTTCTTGAAGGTGGTGGCCTCTGACAAGAGCTCAGGGCTGAGGAAAAGACAGTTGCCTTGGAGATGAAGGCGGGTCTAACAGGGAAGCCAGGTCACCCCAGGAGGTAAGGAGGAGTGGTAGGGGGAGACTCCCCCATCTCTTTGTCCTCCTCCAGCTGCTCCCACAATGCTCTAGGGCAGGAATGTAAGAGGCAGCTGAGACCCCATAGTCATAAGCAGCAGCTGAAGGAGATGCCGGAGTTGTGGGGAGTACTAGCTAGAACCATGACTAGTCCCTGGGGGGGTGTGGGGGGGGGTTCCAGTGCCACAGTCCCAGGAGATTGGCTAGGAATTCCTGGGTGCTGCTCTCCACCCCCACCTCTCTGGGAACAGCAGGGCCCTTGTTTCCCTGAGTAACCTTCATGCCTATCCCAGATGAGTCACCGGAGCCAGAAAGAGAAGAGAGGAGCCTGGGGCAGAGATACAAAGGCAGGCCTAGGACAGGAGGCAGAGAAGACAGCCGAAACACAAAGCCAGAGGTAAACAGAACTGGCTCAAAATGCAGGGCGCAGGACCAAGCAGGGAAACACGGAAGAGTATAGCAAAGTCTGGGCAATCCCATTCTCTAACATCCCCCATCACCCCATCTCTTTCCACCAAATCTTAAGCCCACAGTCAGAAACAGGGAGGACAGGCTAAGAAGATTCACCCAATCACACCTAGCTGGACTCCTTTACAACCAATTATAAACCCAGGACTAGAACACCTTGCCTCAGGCCCTTCACTCTCCTCTCCCAACTCCCATTCACCACCCAAAAATCTATACCCAAACAGCGTGCACGCACGCACGCGCACACACACACACACACACACACTCATAAAAGCGCATGCACACACAAACTTACTGTAAATACTGGGGCTAACACACAGCATGCATGCCTCTGAGTGTCTCAGACAACCCCTCCCAGCCTTTCAGGGAGACATGGCAAACACGGAGGCTCAAAAACAGACACAACACAGCCACTCCATCTACACCTTGGCATTCTTTAAAGTCCAATCCTTGGGGAATACCCAGTTCAGACACCTGTGAACATGAAATGGCAGACACCACATGCTCCTGTAGCCACCGGGGGGCTCTGGATCCTCAAAGAAACTAGATCCACTTCCCAACACACATGGGTACCCAAGCCAGAGGCAGGGCCAAGGGGGTGGTACACATGGAAAGTTGGGTGGGAAGAGCAGTATTGAGAATAAAAACCACATGTAATCTCATGCTACCTTTGAGGATTTCTAGAAGGTATTCTATTATTCTATAAGGTATTCCATTGTATGGGTGTATCTCAATTGGCATTTTTTCGTGCATTTTGTTTTAAGACGGGGTCTGACTATGTTGCCCAGGATAGCTCAGAGCTCCTGCTTCACCTTCCCAAGTAGCTGGTACAATAGGCCTGCCTCCCAGTGCTCAGCTTGGTTTGTATTTGTTTAATAAACTTCCCACCTTTATGGGTGGGGGGAGGGGAAAGAACAAAAACCGTTTCTCCAGACACTCTTTCACCTGTCTCTGCAGCGCACTCGGTGCTAGACACACCTACATCCTCAGCAACAGTGACTCCAGCGCCGGCCGGACGCTGTCTGGGAGCGGAGGTGCTGGGTTGCCCGGCCAGCGGGGAACCAGAAAGTGGAGGCTTGGGGGCGTAGGGGTGGGACCTTGAGAATGGCGCTCACTGGATGGGGAGTGACCTCATCTCATGGCAGAACCAACCAACCGTCCAGCGTGGATTGTCCCTGGTAGGTGAGGTGTCCGGCCAGCGCCCGGCGGGGCCTGGCTGTCGGTCCGGCCGCTGGTTGAGCGGAGGCTTGGCAGTCGATGCCCGCAGGGACCGGCCGGGCAGCTTCTCCAGGGGCGGGTGCCGTGACTCAGTGGGCCACATTTGCGCACCTGTCCCCCACCCTGGGTCCCGGGAGGCCCCTATCCCACGGAGGGAACCCTTCCTCGGAAGCCACTTTCTCCGATTTCAGACAGGGAGCCGGGGGCACCAGGGTGGCGCGCAGGGCCCGATCCCTCCCCCCCGCCCGCGCTCACCCCGCGGCCGCCCCGCAGGGCCCCCCCTGCCCCGCCGATCTCCCTTCCTACCTCTCATCGCTCTTCCCTGTAGACCCTTCCAGGCGTCCGACCCCGCAGTGGGGCCTCCGCGGCGGCGGCGGCGGGGCGCGGGGCGGGGCGGGGAGCCAGGAGCCGGGAGCGGGAGGCGCCGGCGGGGCTCGGGTGTCGGGAGGCGGCACCCGCGAGCAGCTGTCGGGGGCCTGTTCCGGGGAGAGGAACCAGGGCAGGGGCGGCTCGGGCCCAGGCGCCGCCTCCCCGCGCCGGGTCCCCCTCCTCCCCGCGCCCGCGCTCCCCTCCCCTCCGCCGGCCGCCGCGCGCTCGGGGCGCAGCCTCCCCTCCCCCTCCCGGGCCCCCGGACTCCCACGCCCCGGCGCCGCCCACCCCGCATCTCCCGCGCACCCGGCCTCCCCCAGGTAACCCGCCCGCGCCCCCCACCCATGGCGCGCACCCGCCCCAACCCCTCCCGCGTCCCCCCCACGCACCCCACCCCCCGCTGTCCCATCCCCGGGGGGCGATGACGGGGGTCCACACACACAGCAGGCCCCACTTTGCGCCCCTCCCTACCGCCCGCCCCTGTTCTGGGCTCGGTTCCTGGAGCAGCCCCCGGCGCCGAGGACCGAGCGGGTTTCAACAGGCCCGGCGCCCAGCGAAGCGCGGTAGCCCGAGTGGGGGCAGGGAGCCCGGATCACCTGTCCACCCGACCCGCGTCTCCTACCACCGCGCTTGGCTTCTCGCTGGGACCCTCCGGGCTCTCCACAGCCCACCCGAGGTCGCCCCCAGAGCCTGGCGAGGAGCCATTCTGTCCTAGCCCCGGTTGCTCTCGCATTCCCGCATTCCCTTTCCTCTCTCCAGACCGCTCTCGGGAACTCGGGGCCACACTTCCAGGCCCTGTTCCCCCTGGACTCCCCTGCTACGGGGCTCAGGGCTCGTAGTCCTTAGGCCTGGTGCGCAAGTGTGTGTTGGCAGGGGGAGGGAACTGATCACTAGCATGGGGGGGCTAGAAACGGAGCCAGGACAGGTGAGTGGAGGGACGGAGGAGGAGGAAGAAGATCGGGGCACACTGTAAATCAGACATTGCCTGACCGGATGGGAGCCCGAGACAGAGCTGCGGGGAGACTTGGGTAAATAAAGAAGAGAGCTGCAGAGCAGTGGACCGTGTGGTGCCCACAGTCCGCCCTCAGGAAGCACCACCTGTCAGCCCTCCTCTCCACACCCCCACACCTGCCAACCCCTGGACCATGTTAGATCACCAGTAAGGTCTCTCTGGGCAACATCACAGATCGCCACGCCAAGGCACCTCACAGCTGACATAAACTCTGACACAACCCCAAGTGTCGTTCCAAATAGTCTCAAGAAAGAAACACCAAGCCCAAACCAGACAAGAACACAAAAGCACTACCAGGAAGAGGCTGGCCCTTGGGAGAGGCCAAGGCACACAATGAGCTCAAGTTCACAAACCCAAGGACACTGTAGCTGTTGAGGAACTTGCTCACAGACAGTCCCGGGTCACTGGCAGAACGAGCCTCTGGCCCTCCCATCAAGCCCCCAGGGATTTCCCCAGAGCACCTACCCCACCGCAGACAGCAGACAGCGCTGGGAAATCTGAGTCCCGGAGAGGCTGGGCCCAGCCTAGCCAGGCTGGGGGTGGGGCCAAGGCTTCTCAGTCACCTTACCTGGGGCAGCCTCAGCCCTTCCTCCCTGAAGCTGTGCATTGGGGACCCCCCCCCCAACCACCAGCAGCCAAGCTGAATTTAGGCTCCTCACACCCCAGAGGGACATTCCACACCCTGCACTCATGCTGACTAGGACCCAAGGATTTGCTGGGAGCAGTAGAGGAAGCCAAAGAGTCCTAAAACGTTGGTCTGCTCTTCTCATGCTCCCAGGAGAAATTCCTGGTCAGTGATGCCCACTTCACCCCAGCCCTGAGAGGGATGCAGCCCTGGGGCCCGGCGGAATCAAGTGACAACCGCCCAGGGGGGCTGGAGCCAGCTGGAATGTGGGGACTGGAACCGAGATTTCCAGGGGCCAGAGAGGGAAATCCCAGCCATTCAGGATTCCACAGCCAGGCCACACATCTCAAGGGTGCCACCCCTCCTCATTTCCCTCACTACTTCCAGCCAAAGAGGTACCACATGCTCTGCAACCTCCAAACCCTGCCTTCCCCTTCAATGGCTTCCTGCTGCCCAGGAAGGAGAGGAGGGGAAAGAGCTTTCCCAAAAAAAAAAAAAAAAATGTGGAAGAGAGTAATGAACAGCTCTAGGCCTACAGGGACCTGGCTATTGTGGGGAGACCAACCAGAATCAGTGAGAAGGAGGATGGACCAGATGCCCCCAGCCCCCCTCAGCTTCAGACCCCTTCTCAGAGATGCAGCTGCCTCTGAGGGGGAAGCAGGTTGGGTCAGCAGCTGGGAAAAATGGGAAGTGGCTGGTGGGGGGCAGGGTGAGGGAGTGGAAAAGGCTCTGGGAATGAGTCATACCTTAATGCCACAAGTGGGAAACTGAGGCCCCAAGTTGAAGGAGGAGGAAGAAAGGATGTCACTGTAGCAGAAAGATGAGATCGCTCAGCTGTGCATGGCCTGGGGGGAGGAGAAAGAAAGGACAGAGGACTAGGAGGACATTGTGGTGACATTGTGATGGAACTCAGAGAAAGGCTGGAGAGAGAAGGAGGCAGGGCCTGGGGGACAGGATGTTTAGGACAGAGCAAACACATCACAAGATAGTAAGACCACAAGACCCAGGGGATAACTGAGGGGCACAGAAGAAAGAGTGAGGAAGAGACCAAAAAAAAAGCACCCACAGTGAGGAGCCTGCAGAAGGTGAGCAGACAGACAGAGGGAATAAGAATAAAGGACAGGGCTGGGAAGGTGGCTCAGTGGTAGAGCACTTGCCTTGCATGCATGAGGCCCTGGGTTCAATTCCTCAGCACCACATAAGCAGAAAAACCTGGAAGTGGCGCTGTGGCTCAAGTGGTAGAGTGCTAGCCTTGAGCTGAAGAGCTGAGGGACAGCGCCCATGCCCAGAGTTCAGGCCCCACAACCAGCAATATATATGACAAAGAAAAGAAGATTGAAATAAGCCTTAGGGAAAAAAAGAAGGGAAAGACTGAGGCCCAGAGTTTGCAAAAAGGGGACATAAGGATGTGGGGTCTAAGAGGCCCTGACAGGAAGGGCAACTGCAGGATAGAGGAAGGAAAGTGGAAAGAAGATGCCTAGAAATGGAACCAAACCTGTCTTGGGGCTGTAGGACACAGAGGCTCCTGTCCTACCTTTAGGCCATCCTCGTCCCTCAGGTTATTTTTCACACACACACAGCACCCAACTCTATTCCCCATCCTCCCTGGTCCTGACCACCTGGCCCACCTGGTCCTTTCCCACAAAGAGAAAGGGGGACTCCAGTGCCCCTCCTGCCCTTCCAGCTCAGTTCTGACCCCCCTCCCTCTCACCTCCAGCTAGAGCTTCTCCTCGGTTCCAATCTCTCGAGTGTTGGGCCTTTGGGGTTCTAGGTCTGAGGCTGCTGAAGCTGCCAGGCTTTGTCCAAGCACCCCAGGCCCAAGAGCAGCTGCCCGGGGCCAGCTGCGGCTGGCTTCAACGTGACCATGGCAACCCAGCCTCGCTCCCCTTGCTGGAGCCTCTCAGCCCCCGCAGAGAGGGAGGGGACAGCCTGGCCTGAGAGAAAAGGAGGGGAGGCTAAGAACTGTGAAACTGAACTAAAGGAGACCCCCAGACAAAGAGACCCCCAGACAAAGAGACCTTGGACAAAGGGAGATGAAGGAGGCCAGAAAGCAAGCCTTGGCTAGCTGTGACCACGGGCTTAGAGAAGGGAGAATGTGGGGGGATGGGGGCTAAAGAAAGGAGTAGAGAGATCAGAACTGAGCAGGGTGGTCCTTTGGAGGCTTCCTCTGGATCCCTACAATGTACTTCCTTCTCCCAGAATTTTGATTTCGTGCCCTGGGGAGAAGTAGAATTTGTTTCCTGGTCAGCTGCCCCCAAAGTATTACATGATGAATTCTTCCCCCTTTTTCCCCCATTGCACCAGTGGCCACAGGAAGAACTAAAGCCAAAAGGCACCATTGCTTTTCAGGAACCACCTCCATTTCAAACTGAAAAGGCTGACCTATCTACCTGTTAAGTATAAGCAGCGTTGTCAAACAGTACACTCCAATTCTTGGTCTGGAAACAACCATCCCCAAAGCTGAAGGAAGGTGTCTCATTGGACTTGGAGGGAGGGATGAGGCCTCTCACCAGCACCAAAAGGCGAGAAAAGCAGAGGATGAAAATTATGACTGCCATTTGCTTGCCTTGGCTGCATCCACCACCATCCGGGACCCTCACTAGTAGGGTGGGGGGAGACCCAGGAGTCTGTCTGGGTGATAATTTCCCCTGACATCAGCTCCATATTGCTAGGGATCTCTGAGCCCCACGTCCCCTGCACCAGGCAGGGCTCAGATGAGGAGAGTACAAAGAGGTGCTAAGAGCAGAGTCCACCTCACCCTCTGCATACTGAAAGTCCAGAGAGAGAGAGAGAGAGAGAGAGAGAGAAACACACACATCTGTAATCACACCAGACCAGGATTATGAACACGTGTCTATAATCCTGATCTGCTGTAGATAAACTGGAAGGGGCTTGTGAAAACTAGGGGAGAGTCAGGCTAGCCGGTCCTCCAGCAGGACAGGAGAAGACTGAGAAAAGCCTAGTGGAAGAGTAAAGCTTGGCCTAGGTGCTAAGTGGTTACGATTTGCAAAGCAAGCTGGGCACTGGTACTCACGCCTATAATCCTAGCTACTCAGGAGGCTGAGATCCTTGAGACGCTTATCTTCAATTAATCACCAGGAAATCGGAAGTTGTGCTGTGGCTCAAACTGGTAGAGGACTAGTCTTGAGAGGAAGAGCTCAGGAACAGCATCTAAGCCCTGAGTTCAAGCCCCATGGCTGACCAAAAAAAAAAAAAAAAGATTTGCAGAGCAGTGCGTGGCTGAGGCAGCTGAATTAAAAAGGGCTGGGAGGTACCCACAGGAGGGTGTGAAAATACAGCTGTGGCGGCAAGCAGGCTCTGTCTTCAGTGAGTAATGCCAGAAAGGCAGACTTGGACTCTCTTAATATTTTGGCCTATTCTGAAGGT